CAAAATACATCTAAGTTTAACATTTGAGTAATGAAACTTGATACTAAAATCGTCTATGATAATACGTGGCTTCTAGTGGTACTACGTTGCTAATCGCTTGCAAGTGTCGAGCGTCGCGCGTCCGCTTTTTGTGGTGCAATGTGCGGCGGGTCTAATTGGCCGCTCTGTCGCTAATTGAACGGTTAGCCGGTACTGGTCCTAGCTGTGTTTGTTAAACGATTAAGCGGCTTATAAACGTGATTTGTGGGTTTGTTATTTTCTATTTTTGATCGTTTGATTTAGTTTCCTCCACGAGGACTACACAGTTCGAATAAAATTAATTCATCTTGGATATTAAATAACTAGCATCGCAAAACAATTCTCCTAATAAATCGTCCTCATCAACTTCAATCAAATGACAGAAAAATGTTTTCATGACTCTTAGTGCAACTAGTACTTACTTACTTTTACTGTTACAAATCCTTTCTTCCTCAATTATATGCTATAATAGCGTAATAAAATAATGAACTATTATTTCTCAAAACCGAAAACAATAAGAAACGGAGCAAAAAACAATAGTAACTAGGTAAATAAGTAAAAGTCAGCAATAGTTAAATAAGGGCCACCATTCAAAAATAACATCTTTAGAGCAGAAGATTTAGAGTATTCTCCTGGCTATAACATTACAATGAAACCGGTAGATAAATATATAATAAGTACAAAAAGTTGTTTCAGAAATAGAGCCCCTTATAGTAATGCAGCTGCCCTCATACCAGCTCAAGGCAAACCACCCGCTTCTTTTAGGCCCCGTTTTGCAACGTAAATTGTTTTTTTTTCTCTTTTAACCAAAGACTAGAGCTTACAATGGCACGGATAAGTTTATGCCTTCTTTAGTTTATAGACTGTAATGGAAGTCCGTATTAATTAATTTATGAAGGCAATTTGATGACTAAAACGGTATTGAAGCACTTATTTAAGTAGCGAGGTTATTTATAGCGGATTTTATTGAAAACAACTGTTTCTGTTTCATTGATATGTACCTCTATTTTTAAACGTTGGTTTGTTTGTTTATGCGTCTGTAATGTTGTTATTTTTTATACTCCAATATTGTGATACGTATTTGGCAGCCATTAGATTAATATCTACTGTGTCTTTACAAATTCAACGGATATATCCGTCAAAAACAATATTAACAACCTTATGTTCTAGTCAGTACATATTATTGATTAGTTCTTCGGGATTCTAGACCACTAGTAGGTACTTTTGAGGCCGAAAGGAATTGAATAAAAATAATATAGGTGCACTTATTCGCATATTTTCTCTGTCTGGTCTTATTCCTCTGAACGCACCTGCCCTGTCATTACTATCTCCGTCTTTATCTTGTGCAGAATTTCATGATGTAGCATCTCTTTCTATAATATCACATGTTTGTTTTTATCGCCATTATTACCAGTGTGATTGTGATCTAAATGAATTAATGAACACTCCACACAATTTTTTACGATATTTATAAGATTTTTTTTATTAATGGTGACGGTTGTATTTCAATCATTTATCCTTCAACTGATGCTTCCTTTGAATATTCCTGGTTATCAAACTTTAGTCTTGGTATCGGTCTTCGAAGGTTTTACTTCATCTACAAAGCTTAAAAACGTTTTGAGTTTTTAGGAACAGCCAAAATCATTCAAGGCTTTGTGAAACATACCTTAACTTCAACCAAATATTTTCTCATCTCCGAAGTCATAAGTTTCTTTAAAGATACCTACATCAATGGAGTCAGTTTTCTTAATGTGCTAGTTGTAAATAAGTTCCTACTTTCCTACGTGATTAGGCGCACATAACAGATAACAGAACGATAGCCATCCTACTTACCTAATAATATCTAGGATAATCCTGATATCATCAACAACAACATCACCATCATCAATCGTCTGTAATCCTTGCCTTATCTTATTCTATTACCTAATTAAAAGACTCAGTAGGTACAACTTACCTATACGCAATTGTTTGAATCTTTTTTATTCATAACATGAATCGCTAAATACGTTGCTAAGCGCAAAACTCTAAAACGACTGCGTCAATTCGGCAGATCAATTTTTAAAAATTCTTTAAGTCCTTTACTAGAATAACTGACGACAATTTTGTCTCGGGACAGCTGGTTAACCAATAGAAAATATGAATCGTTCCCTATTTTATTAACAACCTATGTTAATTAATATATTATCTATCTCCCTTCTTTCTTATCGTGTGGAAATCGTTATGGGTGTGTTGCATCCTACTAAGGGTACCTAATAGTTAAGTATCTGATGGTCTGCTTGTTCTTACTGAACCAAATCCCCACCCTTTGCGACCATTGGCTTTCAACCGCAATTCCTCCTGAGAATCGCATCCGGAACGACGTGACGACGATGCTCTTCTGAAAAATATTCTGGAAAATAAATAGATACTTACTATCACTTAAAAATTGGCCTTTTGTTTCGTTCAATATTTTATAAGCGAAATTTAAAAATCAAGAATTAACTAACTTAGCTACTTACTAACCTAGAAATGCCTAAAACCTAAGTAGACTTTTTTGTAAGTAGGAGTCTTAAGCAATTATGCTCAGTATGATTTTCCTTAGGCGCATCAGAATCTCTAATCTAAGTACAAATAAGATGCTATGCTAAATGTTTGAAACAGCTAAAACGTTATTGTAAAATAAAGACCGAATTAAACTTTAAAATACGTTAAAAGAAAAACTCATTTCTCAACAAGCTAACAGTAACAAACAATGATCTTGTAAAGCAAATTATGTAAAAAAGATCGTGCAAGCCCGCTACAGCTCGAGAGGCGGTACGGTTGGAGTGCCGTACTCCAAGCTAGGGCCGCCTCCCCGCCCTCGTATTAGCCGACCACGAAGTTCGCAATAACGGTACGCGAGCGCACACTAGCGCCGCGCGGAAACTGTCTGAACTATGTCGACAGTTGACTGATGCAATGTTGTTATTTTTGAATTCTTTTATTATAGCCTGCCAGTTATTTATGATGTAACACCAAGTATTTATTACTGAATATTGAGTGTGTGGATGTATAATTTCACTTAAATTATTAAATTTTATTCGTGATATTAAATAATTTTACCGCAGATATTTGAACAGTACCTAGGGACCGTACATAATTTAGGTACATATTTCTCGAATTAACAATCTACTATTTTTATATGGTTATTTTATAATTATAGGTAAAAAAATAGTAACTGTAGGTAAACAGAACACTGATCCATTTACGGACCAAAAAGTATCCATCCACCAAGTCTCAACAATGGCCTATAAAAAAACCGTAAAAATAAAAACAACACTAACGCAATCGGAAGTGGTGGCGCACACTATCTACAAATGTGGTGTGAAGTCGTATCATCGTACTGTGTGTGCGGGACTCTAAATGGTAACTCGACTAACACGACACGTCTGTGCTGACCACATCCGACAGATGTAGGCAATGTATATGTAGGTAAGTATGCGATACGCGGCCACGATAATACTTTCAAGTTTTCCTTTGTTTCAAATAGATACCTACACTTTTATAAATTAATGAGAAAAGCGAAAGAAATTGGAATGATATTAAACATGACTTGGATCATTGAAAGAAGAATAGTAGATAAGTAATTGGTTAATCTGTCAATACTAGAGGTTTTTTTACCGAAAGTTTTGGTGGGAAATTCGTAATGTACATACATTGACATGATATAGGTACATTAGAAATCGTCAAGACAAATCATTAGCTAATGAATTTAGAAAAACAAACCTTTACCACTAGTCTACTAAGACTGACTGAGTTATCTGAATTGGAAGTTCCTTCTCCATTCAATCTTCTCAATTCAAACCAATTTTATCTATTGCGTACCTGTGGAAGTACTGAATGTAGATACCACAGATAGATAGTACCTAACTACATTTCTACCACTTTACCAGAACTATAACACTACTTATATCTAAAGTTTAATTTCGACTATCAAATGACCAACCGCTAGACATCGGAAAATCTCAACATCCTCGAAAATTGTTTACCAATATTTCTCCGGTGTCGAAGCAAGTGAGTGAGCGAAAAACGGGAGCCCGATATCCATTTATCTAACTAACGCATCATCCAACATCCAGCTGTGCATCGTTTGGACGATAACTCACTTACTCACACTCACTCAGTTACCTGTATTTCGTCCAAAATGTTTCACACAACTTTGATATTTACACTTTCGGCTTGCTGATCCGTACCTTCTAATTCTTAATATCCTGATCATTTGATCGGGGCATTACGCTTCAGGAATTACTCGCAAATGATGAACACATAAGCATTTTAAATAAGAACTTCCATACTTATGTTTTATTTTTCATATAAATATAAATCAAGATAAGTCTTAGAGACCCTATTTGGTTAGATTCTCTAAGATAGAACTATGGGATTCGTCAGTTTAACAAAAGTCTAATGACTTAACAAGCAAAATGCAGTCGCAGTTACCGCATAAAAGTTTATCCTTCTCATGTCTACTCGTACTTTAATATAGGTACTGTCATTGACCGTGACTCCGTTCTCACAATACACAAGTTCCATTTCATCTCAGAGTAACATCTTATTGTTCTACACACTATCAGATTATCGTTGAAAGCTCGTAAAGCCTTTGGTCTTACGTCTGATCTACCTCCGCCGGAGTCGTATTGCAGTCCCAACGGATTTTCACAGTGAACAAATTGGATCTGTACCTTTTTGCTAGACTTATGACTAATGATTTATATCCTACCTAAGTATTATGTATCTGTTATTAACAGCCATGATTAAATTAACGACACAACATTATGATTCACAATAATTGAATAATGATTCACATTTTTTATCATCACTTTTTTACGTTTTTTTACTGACGTCATTTACCTAAGGATCTTGACTGACAATGAAAGGAAAACTCAGTCAATGGTTTTCATTTCCTGTATGTCGACATTTTATATGTATTTGCAATATGATTTTAAATAAATTTTTCTTTGTTGCAGGATATTACCAGCCTGCGGGGCCATTGATCAAAGAGACGAGTGCTGAAGCAGAGCGCACACTCGCCAGATACCATCCACATTACCACGCGCCGCATCCACCGGTAAGAAATCTTTGTATTTTAAGTAGCATTCATATAAAAATTACAATCTTATAATGCTGAAAGGTGTATTTGTTTGTCAGTCGTCAGAGAACCGTCGTCAAAAGCATACTTAAATATATCAACTTTGTTCAACCAATCAGAAACGTACAATAACATAACACCACGCCTTTTATCCCCGAAAGGGTAGGCAGAGGTGCACATTCTTGGGGCACTTAATGCCACTGTACAATGTAACACACACTTTTCACTATTCATGTTATGAGTCCCATGGGGGTGAGTCTATTGCCATATACCGGCCACATTTCCAGACTCAGTTCTACTACTGAGATTTTTTAAAACCTAGTTATAATTTGCCCGGCCCGGGAATCGAACCCGCGACCCCTTGCCCGGTAGTCGCACTTGCGACCACTCGGTCAACGAATCAACGTACAATATAGGTCAGAAAACTCGATCACTTTATTAAATATGCATTTATTCCTCAGGTACTGCAGCAATATGGGCCGCCATACTATCCAGATCTCTGTTATGGCCGCTACTACCGGCCACCAGGGTCATACCATATGCCACCACCGCAGCCGGATGCACAGGTATGAAAACAAACAACACTTTCTAAGAAAACAAATATTCCAATACTAGCTTTTACGTTAAAAAATCGCATCGAAATTGGCCCTTGTGTTCACGAGCTACGATGTCACGATTAGACACACAGACAGATATAGCAACTATCAAACATATGTTTTTAAATGTAATGCTATTTTTATAAGTACCCACTTACCTTTATTATTTTTTGTTTGCAGATGGTTGGTGTCGGTAGTGAACCGTACCCTCCACCACCACAGTATTATGGCACACCGCCATGTTACCAACATTCTCCTCAGAGGATACCATACGTAGGTCAGTACTATCAATTTTTATTATTAGTTATTATGTTCGTATGGTCAGAAGAAGTGATGCATCATTTTTGCTGCTAAAAATATCGTCGTAAACCCGTTTGTAGATCAAGGTAATGTCTAGCTAGATCTTAAGTTTTAATGTTTTTTCACATTAAAATTCGAAATTTGATTAAATGCATCTGTGCGACCTTCACGTGTTTATGCTGACATTAATTATCACTTGATACTCTTTATTACCGTCTCCACCTGTTTTTCTAAATAAACTCGTTTATTGCAGAATATCGCGGATGCCCGTGCCCATTAAACGCGTGTCCAAAAAACGTGCTTATTGGGCCCGCTACTGGTAAAGCCCCAGCCGGTGGCGGCCCAGCAGATGTTCCTCCTGCACTTGCGCCGCCCGGGGGCGCCTTCCGACCGAAGGTGCGGGCGTGCGCTCTTGACGCTGTCGCAGACACACATGGCAGCGGCAAGGTACGTCTACCTTTCTCAGTACGTCCCATCATAGTAAGTTTTACGATTAAATCTTTTAATCGAACTAAGATGTTTAATATAATATATATTAAACATGTGAAATGCAAAAAAAACCTAATATTTAACTTCAACTTCCATTGTTGTAGGACCCGCCACTAGAACTGGAACCTCCAGCGGCAGCGGATGCTCCTCACCCTCGTGCTATGCCAGCAATGGGTGGCGTTTCACCTAAGCGTGAGATCTATGATGTTCGGGATAAGTTACGCATTGCTAATGATATACCTGGACCTGCAGAGGCTCTCGGACCACCATCACCCGCCCGTGGCTCAGCTGGAGCGTGCGCCCCACAGCCCCCACCTGTGGCACCACGCCGTGCTCGCCTCGGCAAGGCCATGGCCAGGCGATCCCTTGTAGGCGATGACACCGGCCTCCTATTATCCACGCCACAACCTCCACTCCTTGTGCATCACAGTGACGCTGATGACGATGTGCTCGCTATTTCACCTCCAACGTGTGCTCCAATCGACCTCTCTTCTTCAGACGAAAGGTCAACCCCTCTAGTCGATGTTAAAAAAGAAAATGAAGGTCCCACATATAACACCGCCAGAAAACCAGAAGCACAAGCACTTAGAGAGCATAATAGCACGACAGTTATGGACGCTAACATCGTTCCTGATGCAGCTAAAGCTGTGAAACGAAGATATTCAAAACCCAAATTAGAAATTGATATGAAAGATACTCAACTTGAGGAATCTTGTAAGACGAATGGCATCGGGGAACACGTAAAACTCCAAAAACGAAGAAAGGTTTCGGGGGATCAGACTGATATTCAGAGGGTAGAAACTATCACTAAAGAACCCAAGAAAAAGCCAACTCAAGCTAAGAAAATTCCAAAATCGCCACAGGCTGATAAGAAAACTGTAAAACGGAAATCAGAAAGTGCGACGGGTGGCTCTAAGCCAAAAAAGATGCTTCTCGAGAATGATGAAGACAATAAAGTCAAAAATATTGTCGCAGTCATCGATGAATCACACCCTACAAAACCAAAAAATAAAAGTGCACTACTGCTTGATAATTTAATTCGGAAAAACAGCATCGACCGGCCTGAAACAAAAGGCTTAGACGCTGAACTAAATCCAGCTGAACTATTCCTATCTCCTACTGAAAATATCGCACAAATTAGTGCCAAGAAAACCTTAAACATTAACAATAATATTGTAGACAGTGGAAACAGTACCGTTAATGGAGTTCGAGCCAATACACTTGCCGCTGTATCTCAATTAATAGGCAAGAAAATGGCTTGTAAATTAGAAAAAGTTGATTCCAAAGTTAGTAACGAAGTTAAATCAGTATTAAAACCACCCACCGTAAAATCTGTTCCTGAGAATGACTGTAAACCTTTGAGTAAAAATGATAATATCGAAGAAAAGTTGAAACCCTGCACTAAAACAGAAACTGAAATAGTCATACCTCAAACCGAAAAAGATGTACCAGAAATATTAAAAGACAATAAAATTTGTACTCACACTGTTGCGGTAGACATACCAGCACAAGTAACTATAACATCAAAGGAAAAGGAAGATTTTGAATTAGAAGTTGAAGAAATGGAAATCGAACACGCGGAAAAGATCGAAGACAATGAGGACAAAAAAATAACAGAGAATGAAAAGGAGAAGTCAAAACCAGTAAAGCTGGATAGAACGACGGTGAAGCGATGCAAACTGTCAAATGGAGAAATGAAGGCTAAAAATGTGGAGAAAGTAGTTAAATTATTGGTATCCAAGAGGCCGGCATTTAAAACAGATGAGGCAACGTTAGTAGTGGAGGAAGCCTGTGCATCTCCAACGCCCACAGGGCCAGGGATGCGGCGAGCTAGGCGGCGGGGTGCGGGCCACTCACGCCGCGGCCGTCGCCCGCTTGTACCGCCCGCCCCGCCAGCGCTTGAACCCCACGCCCCGCCTCGCTGGAGTAATGGCTGGAACTGGGACGGAGAACATTATCTATCCAAAGTCTACCTCAATGTAAGTACCGTTGGTTACCACATTGTTAAGATGGGTACTGAATGCGTATTCCATTTGCTTAAACTTATTTAAATATTTCAGAATGACTCCAAACTGGACCGCACGGCACGATGTTGGTCGCGCATGACACACGCTAGTGGGGACAGCGTGTCACGAGGTGACTGCGTACTGTTGAGGGCATCCCTAGCAAGAGCACAACCTTATGTCGCCAGGGTTGCTAGTCTGTGGGAAAATCCTGATGATGGTGAGATACTCTATGATGTCTATAGGTACATTATAAAGTCCCATCAAGAAAAAGGATCAATAAATTGAATTGTAATCCCAATTTTGCAGGAGAAATGATGGTGTCTCTGGTGTGGTATTACCGACCGGAGCACACGGAGCTTGGACGACAGCCGGCAGATGCACCCGACGAAGTATTCGCGTCACGACACCGAGATGCCAACTCTGTGGCATGCATCGAGGATAAGTGCTACGTGCTCACCTTCAACGAGTACTGCCGGTCAGTAAAACAGTGGGCAGTTAACCTTCTTATAGTTAGGCAAATCTGTTACATCAGTGCAAAGAAGAGAGCAGGCAAAATATTAATTAATTATCTTTCTTGACAGGTATCGCAAACGGCTAAAAGCGGCTGAAGAAGGCGTAACCATCACCCCTTCGATAGTACCTCCCATGCCAGCCAGCGAGGTGAGCCCAGCAGTGGCGCCTAATGACAGCCGCCTGCCGCCTTCCGTGTCCCCCGAGCTGGTGCTATTCTGCCGCAAGATATACGACTTCAGGTCCAAGAAGATACACGTACCTAACAAATGAACTCCTGCGCGATATCGTCTGGATGTCGTTTATAAGATCTGTGTCGATCTGTGCACCGAGGACGAGGCGTCGACGCCTTACGGATGCGTCACAACCAATTTTTACAAAGTATTTTATCTAAAGGATGTGAACACCAAAGTTACGTTATGAAGTTTTATCACGTTAGTTGTCGACAGCACTTGGTGGTTCTCGGTGTAACACGGTGCATGGACGCCGCGATGGTGGTCCTACAGACTTCATCGTTTCTTATATAGTAGTGTTTCATTGCAAACCTTTAAATTAGTACAAAAACGCGTTCCCGGGTGCAAATCGTAGAATGTGTGACCTGTGGCCATTTTATGTGAAAATAAACTACGTAATCGTTGTGTTTAGTAATCGCCAATCGGTCAGTTTTGTTGCTTGTGTCGTGATTTGTCGTAGAAGTTTATTTCGTATCTAGACTTACAGTGATTTGCGGTATCAAATAATTTGGAAGAATAATTATTTGTATCAAAGGATGCCTTTTTTAATGTGTAAGTAGTTATAAGGAAATCGTGTTTGAGATGCATAATTATGTATAGCAATATATTTTTCTTTTTGCTTGAAATTAAGATGAGCGAATGTCCTATTTATTCTCATTCTTGTTAAAGTAATGAGATGCTGAGTACTGATTCGATGGCTATTCATTATAGCTGATACGATTTTGTATGACATTTAAGATTTGATTGGCTACTGGGAATTTGAAAAGGCATTTATAATGATTACAAACTTATGTTTAATTATGTACCTATTTGTTATATTGTTGCACAGACTTTATCTCGTTATATAGTCTGTGTATTGTTGTCAAGGTAGAGTCTATATTAAATTATTCTTTTATTTTAAGAGCGTAGGTGCGTGTGCGTGCTATATACATCGCGATTGGATCTCTTCTGTACTTGGCGCTCGCGGTTTGATACATCACGGACAATGGTGCGCATCGTAGCTCGCGATACACGTATCATGTCGAACTATTGTTTACGTTTCTAAAATATACGGGACTCTTACAAAGAGTTTACAATTAAATTAAGTAGTTATTGATACATCACAAATTTTGCAAGTTTTATAATTTTATGATATAGAATCGTAATTTTAGTCGGATAACGGGGTGAAGGTTGCCTCAGTTAAGTTCCGTATCAATTGTGTAGCCCCCTGCCAACCAAATGTAACTTCGTTCCCGTAGGCGCGTTCGATGACATCTGCAGTCGTTTTTAATATCAAGTAAATGATACAAAAATATTTAACTTTAACCCTGCCTTCGAAGGAATTGATTTTAAATTGCATTTCGGCCTTTTAATATCCAACGTAGGAAATAATTATTTCAATTAGGACCGGTCCAAAGTAGTTACAGGAAGACTGATTTTGCGAAAAGTTTTAAAAATGTTGTCTATTCATTTAATTTATTTAGCAACATTACCCAGACGAAAATTCAAAAAGATTTCGTTTTATTTTCAAAAACATGTCAGGCAATATTTACAATTTACGGAAAATAACAAATGGGAACATTGTAACATATTTTAAATGTAATATTAGTGCATAGATGTATACAAAACAAAAGAAAAACACTTCGGTGTTAAAGAGATATATTGTAAGACTATAATAGTGAAATCTCTTTATCATTAGAAACATATTTTTAAGTAGTGCGATCGAAATAAAGAATATATATTTAACGTTATATTTCCTACGTGGAAATTGAAGAAAGGGCATTTATAAAGTACGTTTCAATTTGATCACGTTATCATTTCCTTCTTCACTATTACCTACAATGTATCTCTATTGTGTTGACTATTATTTTTGTACATATTATAATTTGTTTTAGTATCCACATGCTATTTGTTATCCAGTGAGATTTGTAACAACTAACCGTGTTGATAATTCCGAACTAATGGAGGTAATATTCTCTTTGATTCATGTGAAATGTGCATTCCGTTTAATGATAGATAAATGAATAAATCTGGAAGCATGCGATATGATCGTGTACGCAACAATTTTTTTAATTACCTAGTAGGTGCAGTATTTTCATATGTCTTTTCTTAAGGTCAACGAACCTATATTGAATGTTTTCGCTTACGAATATTAGATTCTGGTTAATCTAAACACACAATAATTGTTCAGACTGTACTTAGGGTGTCGAGATTGGGCTATTGCCCTGAGGATTTGTACTTATTGTCTAAAATATGTATTTATGAATAGGTGCAAGTCCTAATCACACGAAAAGGGGGTTGCCTATCAAATTTTAAATGTCATTTATTTACCACAGCAAAATGTTATATTTAGGTGTAAGTAGTGATCCTCAGGGTGGCATTTAAGTTTTAAAAACTATTTTTTTTTATTCTATGACAGCTAACTTTTTAATTTTATTATCTTATCAAGCCACAATCTCACTGGTTGTCTATTCCAAAGCTTAAGTTGTCTATGTTCTTTTATTTCTTTTCATTGCTTGATGCCAAAAATTTTAACTGCAAAAATTCTATTATTCAGTAAATGATGTAATACCAATCTCCTTCTATTTAGGTTAAAGGATGACGGGTGAGTCGGCGCCTGACATATACCACCACGTATATTATAGTCCATACCTAGTATCTAGGTCAAATAAACTCCCAGTTTTATAAAAAAAAAACCTATTGAACCCCGTAGAATGCTTACTGTATTTATCATAGTCTATGTCGTAGGTTATAGTTTTAGAGCACAAATACCTACAATGGACGCGTTGACAAGTTGTTCATGTGCTGATTCGCCCGCCATCAATACTCATTATTAATTAATCATAGAATTAATGAGTAAATTCCATAATAATACTATAAGTGAGCTCTCCCTTGCTTGTAGGAGGATTGTTTTTAAATGTTACCTGGACAAAGCGCGATTGCAACCTTCTATAGTCAATGATTTTAGCGTTAGCTCTACTAATAAGGAAATACCTTGTTTTTATTATTTATTTTGTTTCAATGAAAATTATATAGGTATATTTTATTATTGTAACCTACATAGTTACGTTGGCTGTAATTTAATATTGATGTAATTAATATATGTATTTTTATTTCAATTTTGGTGTTTTATTAACTCCCAAAAACGTACCTATCCAATTTTCCAAGTATGGTAAAACTACCAAAAATATTGGGTCACACACAACCCATGATTATCATTACATTGAACCACTGTCAATGTGCTGGTACTGGTAATTCACACACAATGTCAATGTGCACCAAAGTTACTATAAGGCCTCTACCTCGAATTTTGCGTGCAGCGGAGCGGCGGCGCGGTTGGCACTGCTTGACTAGAGTGCACCGCTCGTTGTCCGCCGCAACGCATTCACCCATGCAATAAAGGCCAGGATGGATGCCCTTCTTAAAGAAATCAGCTAGACGGAAGACAACAGTCTTCAAAAGCATTTTGTACTGCCTCTATAGGGTATTGAATTTTTTCCCGCCAAGAAGGATCCAAATTCTGGAAAAAGTAGTACTTAGTCTGTCGCAAGGTCTAATGAGTAGGACAGATTGTCTAGCGTGGTGGTCTAGCGCCGGTGTGATTCACCACACCACCAAATAGTGACCATCACTTTTCTAGGGGTAGGTAAGTTTTCATTTAGGGCATTGTTTAGGGTGCTAAGCCAGCATCCAACCAACTTGCTGAGCGGTTGCGGTTATCAAACAAAATCCATTTTTAAATCAATCGTAGGTAACAATGCGAGTTAAAAATCCCTTCATTTGTGTGTCTGTTGAATCGCGCTGGCGATCATTGAATTCGTGGGGAACTCATTTGTCAAGCTTTTTTACCTTGCCAATTTAACGCAAGTTGGCCAATAGTGTTTTGACGCTAACGTCGAAAGCTGCTGCTAATTCCGCCGTAGATTGTGTATAGCTTCCATGATCGCCTTTAATTCGTCATTGTCGACCAAAATCTTCGGATAACCGCGAGGTTCATTTTTCAGGTCGAAATTTCCAGAATGGAAACGAGCAAACCAAAGAAAAAACCAAAAAGAGGTGATGCGTTGGTTTGTAAGTAGTGTTAGCTCCGTAAACGTCGTTGATGTTGCGTGCCGCTTGTGCAGCGTTGCTGCTAATTACTTGAATTTTTAACGTATCCATAATGACGAACAGGGCCGGATTTAGGGGTCCAGAGGCCTCGGGGCAACAAAGGAGTGGAGGCCCCCTTGCCCCAAATTATTTTCCAGATTGAGATCGAGGACGCTCGCTTGATTTCGAGGACGCTCGAAAACGATCGAGGACGCTCGATTGATTTCGAGGACGCTCGATAGATTTCGAGGACGCCCGATAGATTTCGAGGACGCTCGAAAACGATCGAGGACTCTCGATAGATTTCGAGGACGCTCTACAACAATCGAGGACGCTCGAAAACGATCGAGGACTCTCGATAGATTTCGAGGACGCTCGAAAACAATCGAGGATGTTCGAAAACGATCGAGGACGCCCTATAGATTTCGAGGACGCTCGAAAACAATCGAGGACACTCGAAAACGATCGAGAACTCTCGATAGATTTCGAGGACGCCCGATAGATTTCGAGGACGCTCGAAAACGATCGAGGACTCTCGATAGATTTCGAGGACGCTCGAAAACAATCGAGGACGCTCGAAAACGATCGAGAACTCTCGATAGATTTCGAGGACGCTCGAAAACAATCGAGAACGCTCGATTGATTTCGAGGACGCTCGATAGATTTCGAGGACGCCCGATAGATTTCGAGGACGCTCGAAAACGATCGAGGACTCTCGATAGATTTCGAGGACGCTCGAAAACAATCGAGGACGCTCGATTGATTTCGAGGACGCTCGATAGATTTCGAGGACGCTCGAAAACAATCGAGGACGCTCGATTGATTTCGAGGACGCTCGATAGATTTCGAGGACGCCCGATAGATTTCGAGGACGCTCGAAAACAATCGAGGACACTCGAAAACGATCGAGAACTCTCGATAGATTTCGAGGACGCCCGATAGATTTCGAGGACGCTCGAAAACGATCGAGGACTCTCGATAGATTTCGAGGACGCTCGAAAACAATCGAGGACGCTCGATTGATTTCGAGGACGCTCGATAGATTTCGAGGACGCTCGAAAACGATCGAGGACTCTCGATAGATTTCGAGGACGCTCGAAAACAATCGAGGACGCTCGAAAACGATCGAGGACTCTCGATAGATTTCGAGGACGCTCGAAAACAATCGAGGACGCTCGAAAACGATCGAGAACTCTCGATAGATTTCGAGGACGCTCGAAAACAATCGAGGACGCTTGAAAACGATCGAGAACTCTCGATAGATTTCGAGGACGCTCGAAAACAATCGAGGACGCTCGAAAACGATCGAGAACTCTCGATAGATTTCGAGGACGCTCGAAAACAATCGAGGACGCTTGAAAACGATCGAGAACTCTCGATAGATTTCGAGGACTCTCGAAAACAATCGAGAACGCTCGATTGATTTCGAGGACGCTCGATAGATTTCGAGGACGCCCGATAGATTTCGAGGACGCTCGAAAACGATCGAGGACTCTCGATAGATTTCGAGGACACTCGAAAACAATCGAGGACGCTCGAAAACAATCGAGGATGCTCGATAGATTTCGAGGACGCTCGACAGATTTCGAGTTTAAGAATTGAAGAATACCAATTGTTCACATACTGCAATTAATTTTTTTAATGGTCGAGACACTGAATCGAATAGCCAACCTCCGAGGTTGCGGGCAAGTACCATTCCACTGAGCCATTGAGCCATTGGGGTACAAGATGGGTAGTAAATTGGAAGTGCTTATCATAGCCATTTGAGATTTTGATATTTCACTGATTGCCTGATTGGAGTGAACAAATATAGATCAATGATTTCTGTTTCTGTTAATATTTAAAATTAATATAATGAAATAATCATGTATGTATAAAGTACTTTAGGCTGTAGGTAAAGGTAAAAGCGAACAAAATATATCAAAGAAAAGATGTTTACTAGGTTTACTAGTTGAAATTTGAAAGTTTTTTTTTCCGAAGTCTCTATTGTGGAGGCCCCCTGCTTGTGGAGGCCCCGGGGCTTTCGCCCCGGTTGCCCCCCCCCCCCCCTTAAATCCGGCCCTGATGACGAAAAAGATTGAAATGCGATGAAAATGTAACACTAATACTGATTAGTGTTACATTTTCATCGCATTTACCTAAACAAAAGAATTAATGAAAAAAAAATTGTAATTCTTAGCCAAACAAAATTTATTTTGATTTGAAAAGCCAGTACTGCAGAACTGCAATTTCATAGGTAAAGACCTAATATCATGAATGGGAATGCCGTATGGGTAGCACGTTCTTGAATGACGTGAACATTGAGGGGCATTCCACTTTGCGCACCTAAATGAAGCGCACCCAGACGAAGCGCACCTAAAGTATTCCACTTTGCGCACCTGTAGGTGCGCTTAAAATAAAAATTTTAAATAAATAGTTTTTCTATTCCACGAAGCGCACCTACGAATATCACTCGCATAGTGCGGAGACTAAGAAATAAAAATATCGATATAAAACATATTTATTATTTAAAAGACTAACTTAAATTTCTAACATCATTCAGTTTCATCATAATAATGTGACACAATATTTGATATTTGTCCATGTTTTTATTGTAATTATGAAACAATCTGTGATTTTTTATGTTAAAGTAGAGTATTTTTATTATTCACTAAACATGAAAACTATATTTAAAATATAAAACATTATTATAATGAAACTGACAGATGTTAGAAATTTAAGTTAGTCTTTTAAATAATAAATATGTTCTTATATCGATATTTTTATTTCTTAGTCTCCGCACTATGCGAGTGATATTCGTAGGTGCGCTTAGTGGAATAGAAAAACTATTTATTTAAAATTATTATTTTAAGCGCACCTACAGGTGCGCAAAGTGGAATACTTTAGGTGCGCTTCGTCTGGGTGCGCTTCATTTAGGTGCGCAAAGTGGAATGCCCCAACATTGAACATGGAAACTCAAAAATATTATTATTCAGAATGTTTTCACTAATACAAATGTCGTACATCCAAGGCTTCTGCTTATCAAGAAGTCAGTTTATCCAATCACTGAAGCTATCAAATATTGAACGTCCAATGGTGTGACACTAGCGAGTTCCCTGTTGGGCGAAAAGACACACACTAGCGCCATCTAGTGAGCAGTTGTCGTTGAATACTTCGTAGCCTTACTGGTTTGCTATCCACTTTTTATTATAGGTAATTCTGTTGTTAACAAGTATGACGAATTTTATTTGGAACCTGCAACTATAGGACTGTGAGAGTTATATATGAGATTTTATTTTTTTGTTGAGTAATTTATCATAGATACCTAAAGGTATTATTTTTCGTTTAACTGACTAGCACATAACGCAGCGCACAGATGAAAACAAATGTAGCTGTATGAAGTAAGTACCTCTCCACCTTTAAAAAAACTAGGTAAAGAAAAAAAACAGAATCCGTTGTAAATATCGATTTATTTGTAAACACACGTCATGAAGCAAGTATACAATAAATAACGTCCGTCGTTACTTTCATTAACATGTTACACAAAGTTGATATTACACATACATTTAAACTTTTCAAATACTTAACATCCAAATTCACGAACGATATCTTTAAGTTTGATAATCTTAGGTACGCACGGTCAGTACATATTGAAATTTAATTTAATTCTTGAAGTACATAATGTCTTGAGAGTTCGTAGTGTGCAAAGTTTATCGTATTCGTATTCTGCAAAGTTTATCAATGGGAATATTGACAGAAAAACATTTGTAAGTACATCAACAAAATATATCAGCAACACTTACTACGATTATCACTCTTACTACTACGACATAAAGTCGTCGTCTTAATCAAATAATTACTAAAACCTTCGTTGACGTAGACGTACACAGAATACACTAACAAATATGTACCGACCGCTATCAAGATTCGTCATTGAGATATCATTTGATATCAACAGTTTCTTTTTCTCGAAAATTGTATTTACAACTCTTAAAACCATCATAGCACATACAAGGGCCCGGCATTGTTCCAATTTCCAGATCTATTCTACCAATAAGTAGGAATGTATTGCTGAAACAATTATCTTTTATACACCGAGGTCAATCAAATGCAGTAACGAAGTAAATCAGGTCAATATGCAAAGGATCTAGGTCAGATAAAGTGACCCCAGTCAGTGCCTCCGTCACCTCAGAGTCTGCAATAAATTGATTGTCATTCACGCAGTGAAGTGTAATAAAAACCACGTGAAAACAAATAGTAAGTCCACTCAATTACCGAGTATGGTATAACTGAAGTAACAATGCCAATTAACGCAAGCTACATTATGGGAGCTCATGGAGTAATTACGTCATATAACACGCACTGTTTATTTTTTATTTACCCAATAGCGATAAAGATAAGATGTCCTGGCAGGCATCATTTAATAGTATTTACCAGGTATATTTGTGATTGAAAGCCATCAAAAATGGACCAGAATAATAATTAAAAAAAAAACAATACGGTAAAGAATATAGAAAGTAAAGGACTTCAAAGTAATAAAAACTATAATCAACCAATTAATTTCATGTGATCCACACGTGTTTCTTACATAAATAAAATCGATGTCGACGTCACACGACATAATATTATTATTGAGTCGCAACTCCTCGCACATCGCATAAACAAAATCCAGCTATTTCAATGAAAACCTGTTTGTAATAAACATGATGCTAGTTTTTGCATCGTTTTGGAAATAATCTTTAATTCGATTCAATTTTACTCGGAGGTATAGAGATAACAATAAACTACCACTCATCCTATCTATTTCATTGTACCTAAATATTTGATGTTCCTGTAAAAAACCAAAAGTCACTTTTAGCAAGTAATTTTTTTTGCAGCCATATTATAAGTCACAATCATTACCATACACACAAAGAAGGTAAATTTGAAAAAGTACTCTTACTGTTTGGCCCAGAGGCAAAATAAATAAATAGGGACAAAACAGCCATTACTCCATGAGCTTTTGAATTGTTAGAAACCAAACAGCAGTTTCCTATCTCTGATATAGATAAACAGTTATACACCACTGAAGTAATACTAACAGTACCACATAAGGTAATAAGAAACACCATGAAACTTACTCCAGTATACAACATTTTAATATTTCAGTATTAGCATGTCAATTAGGTGGGGACCAAGGCTATCGAAAATTAAATTATTAAATCATAACCACTATAAAAATAGTTCCATTCTAATAAACTGTGCGCTGCGTAAATAAGTATTTTATTTTATAACTTCTATTATATTTAGACACATTTATAGAATACTTTTAATACATACAAATTCCTCTTTTTCCATTTCATAACTCATGATACTCAGTAGACTATTCTAGCTTTTTAACAATAACTACTACAGGACATATCAACATTCATATTAATATTATTTATAGTAATATTGCTTACACACATCCATGTAAAGATACTACCTACTTGATGTAGCGACTCTATTACAGTATACATTACAATATTAATTTCACTTTTGAGCCTAATACAATATATTTAACAATATACACTTACAAGCCTTCCTTTGAACCATTCACTAATACCATTCCACAATACTAAATTACATTTGTTTGTAAATAATACTGTCAATAGAGTCAATACATGACTAACACAACAATAAAACCTCTTCTTCTACACAAGCACAGAGTACAAACTGTTTGGAATATGTAATAGTAATATTTACTATTTGTTCAGTTACATTACACAATACAGAAGTTACATGATTATTATAGTTCAATTAACATATTTGGATGTGTGCAGCCACCGCTGATGTTCTTTAATTATTGTAATTTCAACACTTAGGCCACAGTGAAAGCAATTATAGATGCTTATGGCAGTATTATATCAATTACATTGTGATGATCACACTGGTTTGGCATCATAGCAACAATCCAATCTAAATACTCTTCAGTTTTCAAAACAAACAACATTATTTTATACAATAAAACAGAGTAACCCCAAAAACATAATAAGCAATACCTACATAATTGAATACAATTTGACAAACAAAGAATGTCATTCAAATATAAATCTAAAATTTTATCTAATATTTTCTTACAGTGGGTATAGTAATGGCCACAATATTATTTAATCAAGCCTTCAAACTCCACTAAACAGCAAAAACATATTAATTAATTGAACTATGGCCAAGTCAGGTATAACATCAGAATGCCTTAGAAATTACAGCAGCTGTTAGTCTTTCGGGCAGTCTTGTAAAACAATTTACTCTGCATTGATAGACTCTCAGTCTTAGCAACAACATCGTCTAGTTTCTCACCTCGTTCCAACACTGCCTTTATAGTGTCATGTAGAATGATCTTGGTTTCATCCAAATCATTTTGTATTTTCGTCAAAGCATCAGCTTCTCTGGGGTTCTGGTATTTAGTTAAGTATTCAGGTAGGATGTGGAAGTCTATCCTGTCCTCAGTGCCTGTGGGCCACTGGGTAGCTGGGACCGCAGCTGTGAATTCGTCCAGTATTTTGGTAATCAATGTGTGGGCCACCCTGTTTGGGTACTCATGGTCAGATATCAGTACTCCCGCCAAGTTGTCTGCCCTCACATACACTTGCAACATATACTCTCCTTCTTTTACTGACTGTCGTGAGGCTTGCTGTGTTCTTTCTACTATTGTTTTGCTAACAAACACCATGAACTCTTGTACTGAACCACGTTGGAATATACTGAAGCTCTGTAGATTGTATGCTGCTTTCAGGAGAGTAGCACTATTGATGCCTTTGTAAAGGACACCCAAAGCATAGATTTTCACCATTTTGATAGCAGACTATTCAGCTTCAAGTAGTCAAAGTTAACTGAAAGTAAGTTTCGGGAATATAATAATAAAATAATGGTTTGATAATTAAAAATATTATCAGAATGGCACAATTAAAGTAAAATTAAATAATGGTAGTACTTTCTAATGACTAAAATTGAAAGTTAATAGCTCAATTGGAATCACAATTATTACATAAACTGGTTAATATCGATGCACTTTATATCTCCTGTACTCCTATTGTCTATATGAGTCGATATTATCCAAGGGAACTTAGATTTGTTTAAATGCAATTATGATTAGGCAAGGCACTTACCCAATTTGCTTCTCTTGTTGCTGTCTTTGGTAAGTGACACATAAGTTAACTTGACGCCAACTACTTATCTACACGTGCCCACAAAACCAAAAAAATATGTTTTTTTCAAAATTGATACATTCTAATTAACTAAGATCGAAAAATTAAAGAAATATCTAATAAATTCTGACGAAATCAATTCTTTGTGCTTACGCACTTACGTCTAATAATTGTCGTGTCTGACTGGACTGTCACTGTCATAATGACATAATGGAAACCAGTTGCACGCGTTCCAGCTTTAATTTTTTACAATTCTATACATGATAAATCGGATGAAATGTTGTATCTCACTTCAAAATCTGTTGACAGAAACGACCACACAACTAATGTTAAATATCGATCGTTATCCTTATCCAATGATTTTGGACTAATATTGTTTAGATGGTTAGTAATGTGCAGGGCTACCTGCCTAATGATAATTCCATCTGTTCCAAAAGTAACAGTTCCAAACCGTTCTTTCTGGAATAAAAAAAAATATGTCAAACTTAATAGCTGTCAGTGTCACTGTCAAGTGTCAAATGAAGCAAGAAAAATAGCGTTCGTATTTTTGTTGATTTGATTGTATTTTTCAGAATAAATATAATTAAAAATTATGGCAGAAAGCACGGAAAAGGTGGAAAATGGTTCAGATGCACGAAGACGAGTACTTACTATAGCAGTATCCACAGTTTTACTGGAAAATGGATTTGAATCTACTGACAAAATGGCACTAGAAACACTCACAGAAATGCTTCAATGTTGTAAGTGACTGTTTGAATTACCTACTTAATAATTTCCTTATAGCCTATTCACGGATAATTAGTTGACAAATAGTAACATCAACATTTTACTTGTTACTTATGTTAATAATGTTACTCTTATTAGAAGGAAGACCATAGCCAAACAGTGGTCACAGTTTCAAGCTCTTTACTATAACTGTAAAATCAAGAATTATACTGTTTCTAATTATGAATGATAGATAATGCCATAGATACATAATTATCCCACTAATATTATGAATTCCAAAGTTTGTGAGGATGTATGTCCAATAAGTAGTATGATTGTTTGCTGATGAACGTTATAAAGAGAATAGTGTAGTACAACACTTCGGGTGCTTCTTACCCAGATTATATGGGTAAAGTTGTTTGCAAAAACTTTTTAGTAACTTGTTTTTTTACTTTTCAGTTTTGTCCGAAGTTGGAAACTCGGCCAAAAACTACTGTGAGCTATCAGGCAGAGTGGAGCCAATGCTGAGTGATGTAATCATGGCCTTAGTAAATATGGGTAAGTTTTTTAACACTTTCAAAGGATTCAAGTAGTGGGGTGTTGTTTGGCCTAGATAGGCCTTTGTCCAGTAGTGAATAATCTGACTAACGATCATAAATTTTATTAAAGGTATCAGCATACAAGGGTTGGAACAGTATGCAGCTCGGCCAAACAGACATGTGATCCAGCCACCACAGCAGGCCCCAGCCCCACGAACACCAGCAATGTTATCAGCAGGATCCAAGGCTAAGCCTGCTCCTCACATACCATTCCACCTGCCACCATTACCTGATCCACATGCTTATATTAGGACACCTGTAAGCATTAACACAGGTTTTTTATTATCGTCACATCTAGCACATCAGCAAAATTAAATGTTTATTTTATTTAGCCTGCTTACCACCAGGCGAGATAGTGGTCAAACGTCAGTCCCATCTAAAATTGAAATAAAATATTGTCAGCTTGTAGTTCTTAACTACCAAGTACATACCAATACAATATATACACAATATACTGATACAATAAAATTTTGTATCACACACACTCTCTAAGATCTATGTATGACAAACCAAAGATTAATATTACTACAATTCAGAGTTTAGTAGAAAGTTTGTATGATAAATAAAGTTGGTAAGATGATTCCAGAGACCTTTTTTAAACATCTTCTAATTTATTTCAGACTCACAAACAGCCAGTCACAGAATATGAAGCTATAAGAGAGAAGGCTGCCTCACAGAAGAGGGACATCGAGAGGGCATTGACGAAATTTCTAGCTAAGACAAGTGAAACACACAACTTATTCAACACAGAGGATAATCAGGTGTTCCCATGTATGAACTTTTAACTTCTATATACAAAATTATATAACTTGACATCTATAAGAACCTTGACATAATTATCTATACAGATAAACAAAATTGAAGTGTCAGATCAATATATTAAAATGACCGGTTTTTACTACATGCATATGAATATTACGAATTAGACATCAATGACAAGGACTGGCCACAAAAAGCTTTACATAGAGAGATGTAGAAGAAGTGTAGAAAGGCCTTCGCCCTGCAATGGGACAATCATGGCTGAAAATAAATAAAATATTAATATATAAATGATACACATACAAATATAACATTTTTTACCATATTTGTCTGTCTGTTTGTACTGGCTAATTTAATATGTATAACATAAGATAAGAATCTGACATGATTGCAAAAGCTATTGATGCCAAAACAAAAGCTTTATATTTTCTCTAATATAATTTGGTATAATGGGTAACTTAAAGGCTAAAATACCAGAACAGTTATTTAGCACCTTATAAATGGAACAGAAATGGAAACATCTCTGTTCCATTCACATCTTTATTTGATTGTTAACAATTACTCTATTTCTTGTTTACAGTAATAGCATGCAAGCCAACATTCCCTGCATATTTACCATGTCTGTTACCAACAGACCAAGTATTTGACTTTGATGAATTAGAATATCACTTCCAAGTTGCTAATAGAACTGAAGATATGCCAGCTGATAAAAAAGGTAAACATTTTAAATCTAGTTCCATAATGAATATTGTAATTTATAACATTAACTCGTTGAGTACCGTCATTATTCGACTGCACGGTTGGTGCGGTGGCTGGGCAACCGGCTGCCGTGCAACGTGTCGCGGGTTCGATTCCCGCACGGAACAACACTTTGTGTGATCCACAAATTGTTGTTTCGGGTCTGGGTGTCATTGTGTATGAGAACTTGTATGTTTGTAAACGCACCCATAACACAGGAGACAATGCTAATGCGGGGCAAAGTTTTTTAAAAAAAAAAAAATTATAAGACAGTTAAATGAGTTTAAGGAGGTTGCGGTCACTGGTGACCGCTTAGTGTTTGACAGTTTAATTTACGATTCAGTGTTACATAGAGAACAGAATTACTACACATACATAATTCTCATTCTCATTCAATGTAAAAAACCCCCAACAACATGAGTTATAGGGATTTTTTCCTTAGTCAAACCCAGGGAGTCTGTTGCTCTTCCATCAATCAACTTATTCACTTTTTTACTTCTGATGCCAAGATTTATTATTGACAGGTTCAAAGCATTTATTTCAATTAAACCTTTGGTACTTTTGAAACGTCAACAAATACAAAATAAATAATAATCTGTCAGTCAGTCCGTCAGTGAAGCTAACTATTAGGTATGTCATTACTGTTAATTCTTGTTACAGAGCAATCAGACAACGAAGGTGACAACATGGTTGATGGAGACAACCCAAACAGTTCACAGATGGACAACCCTGAAGCAAGTATGGCATCCAGCCCAGACAGAGGCAAATCTGGTGGATAATTTATACAAGAGCTTACAAAATTTAAGATTAAGGATATATTAGTATTTAAATAAAATACAATTTAAGACAATAACACTTTTGGTTTTTTATTATTTTTCTCTAAAGGTGCATGAAAAGATCTTTTATAAATTTTGAATGATTATCTTATGTCTGTGAACCTGTGAACTCATTCTTTTGTTGTTATTCTAATAAGAGTTTCGTCGTTATAAAAATAATATTTCAAGTAATTTGGAATACAAAAAACACATATAGAAACATTATCAAATTCATATGTTCCGTGATTTGAACTAATTTTATATGTATGAATTATTAATTGGCCATAAATCATAGAACTGTTTTTTGTGTCAACTAGGGTTGACACATTACGAGATAATATTATATATGTGCAATGTAATTAATAAGTATGCATTACCAAAATAAAATAACAGAATCATTAAAAAAAGAAAACAATCATGAAGAAAAAATTACTTTATTATAGCAAATCACTTGAGTAACTCAGAGTTGATAACGGGCAACACTTTGATGCCATCCCTATTGACAATGGTCACTTGGAAGTTGGGCAGGCTGACAAACAATCTTCTATGGACTTCCTTCACACACTTCTTCAATATTTCATATGCTTCCTCCTCAGTAGCATCTGAAAACAAGTGGTGGTTAATGTAAAGCTAGCTTCTAAATCGCCAAAATGAGTAAATAAATAATAGATGAGTGCCCACAAGGGAGACAGATGAGGCATGACCTAGGGAGTCATTGGGGAAGCCTATGTTCAGCAGAGAAAGTTTTATAGCTGACATCATGCTGATCATGAAATAGATGGTACTTTACCAGTGGCAAATGACCATTACAAATCTATTTACTTTTGAATGGTAGTATATGTATGATTTAATTATAAATAAAAAATACATGGAATATTGCTATTCACCTTCTTTGTAGTAGCGGTCCATAATACTCAAACTGAGGTAACCACCATATCCATGGCAGGCAAAGGGAACTTTTACACTGGATGCCAAATAGTCCATGAAGTACAGTTCTGGACCATTTTCTTTATCATACCCACCCATCAATACATTCACGAAGTAAGGGGTCTGAAACAACAGATTAAAAATTTATTAATTATTGGTAGTTATTACATTGTGCCTTCTTATAGTTACTTCAACTTTCAGGTCATTTAAAAAATTATTCAGGCAGGAAAGGCAGAGATGCACACACCCACTTTTAACCAGTTTATAACCCCAAGTAGTATAGGGGATGAGTTATTGCCATACCTCTATCAGGCACAACCTCAGATTCCTTGTTATTTCTTATTTTCTTCAACCCACTCCTAAGGATACCCACAGACCGAAGATCGAAAACATCCCAATCGTTCTATGTCCGTCACAGGAATTGAAACCATGCTGGCTAGTCTCACTTGAGATGACAGGACCAATGTTACGGTTTATCAACTAATCTAACTGGATTTGTAGGAAGTTGTTAGACATAAACTTACGCTGCTTCTCAGGTATTCGGCGAGATTCCTCCGTGTGAAATTAGCGGCAGCAGTGGGTCCAAGCTCATAACCGTTGCGCATTTTGTACAACTGAATGTTCTTAGCGATGTATTCAGCGAACTGAGTCGAGTCGCCTTGATCGCCAATCACACCCATTATGAGCTTATCGGAAATCTTGTGGATCTTATCCTCATCTAGAACATGAAATCTCAATAAGTATCCAAAGTTACTAATGAAACGAGAAATATTCAGGTGTCAAAAACCGCTAACTCACCGTCTTTCATCACCATAATACTGTGGCTATTGCTCTGGTCAGCGGCTATCATAACGAAATCCTTACACTGTATTCCTAATAGACATTGCAGATTAATGTTTGCCATTTTGGTGAAAATATATACCAAAACTCTCTAAAATACCGCAAGAATAACCTACGACGATAATGCAAAGCAAACTTCAACAAACAAACTTGTCAAATCACCGAGTGTCACAGATTATAATTTCTGTTCAACCTTTGAGGTTTTTGATAGTGGCAATGTTACAGTTACAGTTTGAAACTGATTGATCTTTCTTAGTCGTCAACTCTGAAACAAGTAACAACATATAATTTTTCTTATCTATCGACTTTATTTTCTTCCACCCCTTCGGTGTATTTCATATATAGGTAGCCGACGTGAAGAAAGACGTGTAGTTGTGCACAAAACGTCAACTGACAAACAAGTTAACAATGTCACACTGACAGCTCACAGCTGCAGCTGCAGCACACCACAGCAGCACACTGTGCAAAATTGTAGACCTAAGGACATAAAACACGAGTTAATTAAAAGAAATATGTATTAATGTGTAAAATTGAGAAATACAAAATGTTTAAGAAAGTGGCATTAGGTATTTCAGGAGGCGTTGATAGTGCTGTTGCTGCACTTTTGCTCAAACGAGCTGGTAAATATTATGACCTAACTTTAGGCAAATTTGGATAGCATTAATATATTTAGCTTTCATAATTACACAAATTTCAGGATACCAAGTAGAAGGAGTATTCATGAGGAATTGGGATAATAACTATGAAGCTGGATTTTGCTCAGACGAAAAAGATTTTGAAGACGCAACATACGTGTGTCGTAAGCTCAATATTCCCTTGCATAGAGTTTATTTTATCAAAGAATATTGGAACGATGTATTCACAGTAATACTTAAAGAATACGAGACGGGTCTGACGCCAAACCCCGACATACTGTGCAATAGATATATTAAATTTGATAGCTTTTTCCAACATTGCAGGAACAATTTAGGAATTGATGCAATTGCTACTGGACACTATGCTAATACATCATTTGGTCCGTTTTTGGAAAAATATAATGAAAACGAAGGTATGTAGACAACACTAGGACTATATATTCCACACCAAAAGATCAAGAACATTTTAATGTTTTAAAGAACTATTATCTGGTAGGAATTATAAACTAAGCAATGTGTTTTAGTGATCATCTTCATTTTGGTTTCAGGAGTAAGATTACTGCAGCCTACAGATAAACACAAAGATCAAACATTTTTCTTGTCACAAATAAAGCAGTTTGCTCTAAGAAAATGTATGTTCCCACTAGCTGGGTTACTGAAGAAAGAAGTTAGAGAAATAGCGAAGTCTGAAGGCCTTCTAAATGTAGCCAACAAGAAGGATAGTACAGGAATATGTTTCATTGGAAAAAATAAGTTTCAGAATTTTATTGAAGAGGTAAGTGACTTTGTAAGTAATATTATAATATCATCATTGTTGATACTCATTTGTAAAGATAATTAAATACAATACAATGTTAACCCGTTGAAATTCATCCCCTAAATTTGTTCATACAAAAGTAGTCTTTAAGTTTAAGAATTCGAAATAATATATATATAATATAGGTAGTGGAGAGCGGTCACCGGTGACCGCTTGGGATTCTATGGGTTAAATACCATGTTACGATGAAATGAAAGTTTGATCCCAGAGCTGAACAGCTATACTCCGTCTGTTTAGGTAGTTAACTATTTGTAAACAAACCATAAAAAGAGTTCTTTATAGTTGACATTTCCATGATTCAAAATACTTCATAAGAAAATAAAATTGTTTCCCTTTTTACGACAGTTTTCTCTATTAAATGTTATATTTCTGTTCCTTTTCACTTATTTCTTAATAAATATTAAATATATCTGCTTGAGGATATTAATTTAATAACATTTATTAAATAATATAATATTTCATTACAATAGACACCATAAAGAGCCTAAAATCCCAGGTATCCAAAACGTTTCTTTAAGAACGAAGCAAAATAATGTTGTCAAATTAAAGAGCACAACGAAGATGTAGCGCGACAATGAAAGTAGCGTGTATTACGTTTAGTCGGTTAATCAGGCGCCATTGACAGCTCTCTCGTCGTTTGCGCTCGCGTTCCTATTTTGTTGAATTTAACTTGTTTCTTTGTTTTGTTTTTGTTATTAAGTTATTTAAGTTTAGGTTATTCATCGTTTGTAATTAATGTGTTCAAATATATTGAAGAAACTTGGCCCAAAGACAGATATACATACAAGAAAGAAATCCGTACATCAGATTCAGAATAGTTTCTATTTAAACATGATAATGAAATAGACCCATAGGCTAGGCTCTTGTACGATTTAGGCATTTGTACTTGTATGTGTGTGTATGACAAATGAACGATTTTAAAGTGAATTTAGTTAAAATTAAAACACGAGAAATATTTGAAGTAATAGTAGGTTAAGTATCTCTGTGTCACGTGGTTTTCTTTGTTTACCTTTAGTTAATTACCTAAACAGATGGACTATAGGTTAAAATTTTTGGACTGGGGAGTTCTCACATTCTAATTAATGAAATAACAAATCTTGTCTAACAGACATAAAATATCTATAGTAAGGACTATTTCCGGTGCTTGAATGGTAATTATTAATTAAATATTGCTATTTTTACAGTATATCCAGACCAAGAAGGGTCTATTTATAGACATAGACACAGGACAAGTAGTGGGTGAACATGGAGGTCTGCATAAGTGGACAGTAGGGCAAAGATGTGGTTTGCCTAATTATACAGGACCTTATTTCATATTCAAGAAAGATTTAGAAACAAATAATATTTATGTGGTAAGTTAACAATTGTTACAACTTTTAAGAGCATATTTTAAAAAGGTGCCGCTTTTTTCATGTATTCTATAAACTCAAAAATGATCAAATTGATTTTTGTAAAGTTTTCATCCATTGATAGTCGATTAGTGTGATTACTTATAAAGGATTATGGTAATTTTGACAACATACAGAAATCATAATAAAGGTGATTTATTAAAAATAATACTCTATGTATTCTTATTTGCAGGTATTGGGTACTAAACATCCAGCTTTGTGGAACAATATATGCTTCACTGACCCTCCACATTGGATTCACAGTGAACCATTAGAACTAGCCAGCAACAATGTATTGGAGTGCTACTTTAGATTCCAACACACAAAACCTCTCACAGCTTGTAGAGTAGTCAACAACAGAGAGGGCCTCACAATCATATTACAAAATAATCTAAGAGCTCTCACTGAAGGACAGTTTGGAGTCTTTTATAAAGATGGAGAATGCCTTGGTAGTGCAAAGATAAGAGATGTTTGTCATAATTTAGATTTTACTAAAAATAATTGAATATTTGTGGTTGTTAAATAAAGTTGTTAGTGTTTTCAAGTCTATTTTTATTCCTGTACCTACTTCCCTTTTAATAGTCTAATGAGTACATGGAATGTTACAATAATTATCTGAACAAACATAATTTAAAAAAAATATATTAATTATGCTTGCTTCTCAAGCAGTTACCATATAACTGGGCTAAAATCTAAACGTATTTCAAAGTTTGGAATTCGTTTTAAAGGAAGCATGGTAATTTAGTGATTAACAGTGAGACAACTACGGGCTAATGAAAGATGATGCGGATGTTATGATATGGCCACGATTACCAAATCAACGGGTGAACGGGCCCTCTATCATACGGGGTAAGTAATCCCTGAAGACACCCTAACATGAGCCGAGCTAAAAAGAGACCCTCTTTAAAGAAGAGTAAAGTAGCAGTATGTAGTCTTCCCTACACTTATTATACTTAGAGAGTAGTATACTAGTCACCTCCACGAAATGTGGTTTTCAACGAATTTTAATCTAATTCCAAATCAAGTTTGGACACGACACAAATCGTCGTCTGTAAATAAAAATAAATCAATCCTAAAATATTAATATTTTAAGTAAGATATAAGATAAGATATATGTTACTCTTTAAAAACAATGAAAAAAATCCAGGTTCTTTTATCAGGGGTCGAAATTTAATCATCATAACATAACATCACGCCTTTTATCTCCGAAGGGGTAGGCAGAGGTGCACATTATGCCACTGTACAATGTAACACCCCATTTTCACTATTTATGTTATGAGTCCCATGCACTGATATGATAAGAGTATATATCGTCGGGGATAGTGCAAATCCGCGAATCTACCATACGTAAAGGCCGCGTATCTGCAATAGATCGTTTTACAGGGGAAGGTTAAAATTAAATGATTTTATTAATTCAATGAATTTAAAGCTCAATTTTACATACTATTGAAAATATACAAAATAAACTCGTGTCAAGGCGGTGTGGCACCCAATTGATATTTTAGGGGATTTCTTCGCGAATACTTAAGATAGCTACATTTGTCAGATACACGGAATTGTTCAATGCGAGTTCCGCGGATTTGCACTATCCCCGACGATATATAAGGTCCCATGTAATAAGGGGTGACTGGTGAGCCTATTGCCATATACCGGGCACAATTCCAAACTTTGTGCTACAACTGAGATTATTTTTTAAAAACCCAGTAATAGCCCGACCCTGGAATCGAACCCGAGACCCCTTTCCCGGCAGACGCACTTTTACGCAAATTCAACCATAGACAAGTAAAAAGGAGAGGGTCTATGGGCAACCCCCTATACTTATTATACTCTTTGGGCAACCCCCACTACGCTAATGTCAAAGTCATTTAATAAACGTGTCAAAGTCATTATTTTGAGGTTTGCCTTGTGTTGTATTGTATTGATTATTGATTTGTTATGAATATATACTAAATAATTGAATTTATAAATATGGAAATCTATTTAATTAACGGCAAAATGAAGACAACTGTGTTATAGATTCGCTAAAATTAAATATGTGACGTGCAAATTTCACTACAAGTATTTAAATTGTTTTTTGAATTCAATTCAACATCAAACATGTCCATACCTACAATAAACTACAGTGTACCGCCGCCACGGTTAGATATGCCACCGCCAGTGGCAACAGTTCCAATAGCGACGTCGATGCCACCTCCGATGTATGGCCCTCCGCCTACGTTTATGCCGCCGCCTATTCCATATGCGGAGAAGCTCACACAGCCGGCGCCATCTCCTTCGACTGCTTACGCCCCTGTGACAACTTATACTCCAATTAATGTGCCCCCACCTAATGCGGTCTATCCCATGATGCCGATAGATATGCATTCGCCGCCGCCACCCTACTATACACCACCATATGATTATAATGGATACAACTACAGCCAAACTAGACAAACACCATCATCCTCTAAAGACTGGCCAAACTCTCAATCCTCCAGCATAAGCTCTGGAAAACCTAAACCATCAGGATCTTATTCCGAGAAGGATGAGAGGAGTCGCAGAGATTCTCATGATAGACTTGTTCGCAGTTCTTCATCAAGGAGACGTTCTCCTGGCCATGATAGACACTATGATCGAGAACGAGATATGAGACAACGTAGTGAACGTCGATACAGTCGTAGTCCAAGTCGTCATAGCAGCTCAAGTAGTCAGCGTAGTCATGTTTGTCGTAGTCCTTCTTACTCTAGTCACAGAGAACGAGAAAAGTCTTACAGGCAAAGGTTTGATGAAAGGCGAGAGTATGAGCGAAAAAGATGTGAATATGAAAGACGTCACAGTCCATCTCGTAGTAGAGACTACAGGAGTCATAGTAGAGCTCATGATCCAAGAAAACTTAGATCTCCAAGTAGGCAAAGTTTTAGATCTCCAAGCAGAGATTCTCGAATGCGCAGCCGCACCCGTGAAATGTCTCATGTATCACAACGAAGTATCAGACAAGAACCTAAACCATTATCAGATCGTGAGAAAATTTTGGAAGAATACAGGTTGGTACATTCTTAGGTCTGCACAATTTTTCTAAGCTTAAATCCATTTAATACTTGTGTCTTTTATTAACTCACTACTAAAAATTTTACCTTATAGGAAGAACTATTGCAAAACTTCTGAAGATTTCATTGAGAAAATGGAACAATGGTCTAAAGAACACAACTCAGATGAAGAGGAGGTAAATATTGATGACAAGCTAATAAACAATAACTCACAATACCTAATAATATCAAATACATATCACCCTTTATCATTAGGAACCTTACTCAACATTTTTATAAATTTATTAGTATGTAATATATTAACATCAATTCACTACTAGATTTTAAGGTACACATTTTGTTTATTGTTAAAAATATTGAAAGACTGTGTAAGTGTTGAGCCTTTGCGAAAGTAGCAGATTTTATTTTACCTATATCATATTTTTGTATCCTTGATTATTAAAAGTAAAGTCAAATAAAAATTGTCTTACCATTATTGTGATTACACAATTAAGAAGAAAAAAGAAGCCAAACACTAATTACAGTGTCTCTTTTGGCTTGAAGTTATTTTTGTTATTCCATATTTGGGGGTATTATGAACACACCATGAAATTACAAAACTATTGCAGGTATCAAAGATGTGGTTTAGAAGTTCTCCAGCAGAGTTGTACTATAAGCCAGCAGAGGCAGGTTCTGGAGTCCAACAAACTGCTAAATTGGAGAAGATCTGTGAAACATTCTACCAGCAGCTGATTGAAAGAGGGCGGAATGCTAGACCTGAAGTGGATGAACTGCCACCTTTGAGACCTTCTAAAGTGGCCATGTGCAAACATAAATGTGAGTTTCTTATTTAATTACCTCTTATTTACAAACTAAGGAATACATGAATAGGTTGATATAAGTAATACTAGCAGCTCCACATAATATGTCAGGGGGAACACAAGACCAGTTGTTAATAAATTTGACAGGGTATTATGTGTTGCCCAGTTAAAGGGAAACGCCAGTAATGCAGATCAAACTAAGTTTAAAGAGGCCATCATTAAAAAAATAATTTGTAAATTTTGCACATATCATCAGCAGTTTTAATTAACCACTGCAATTTACTTTTAGCTGAAGATGGAAGTTCTTCATCTGAGAGTGAAGATGAATGTTTGGATGAAGATGGTCTTCAAGGCTACACTGATAGGATCATGCTGGAGCTGCAGAGGAAGCAGAGTCACCCTAGGAGGCTACATCCTGAGATGTGGTAAGTAGCATAAACATTTGACAGTTTCATATTAAAATGTGAAGATGTTGCTAATTATTAGATTTCTCAGGGCACTACACTCTTATACCAAGTTTTATTTTATTATGTCATGTTCGATTCGAGCACAAAAGTAGTGCGATTTAGCACCCAGTGCCAGTGCAGTGGTTGACAATTGAATCCGCTTATTTATTTATTAAGCGAGCATTGACCTCTCGTAGACTGCATCGGGCAAATAGATCCTACCTATAGTCCATCTGTTTAGGTAATTAACTAAAGGTAAACAAAGAAAACCACGTGACACAGAGATACTTAACCTACTATTATTTCAAATATTTCTCGTGTTTTAATTTTAACTAAATTCACTTTAAAATCGTTCATTTGTCATACACACACATACAAGTACAAATGCCTAAATCGTACAAGAGCCTAGCCTATGGGTCTATTTCATTATCATGTTTAAATAGAAACTATTCTGAATCTGATGTACGGATTTCTTTCTTGTACGGATATCTGTCTTTGGGCCAAGTTTCTTCAATATATTTAAACACATTAATTACAAACGATGATTAACCTAAACTTAAATAACTTAATAACAAAAACAAAACAAAGAAACAAGTTAAATTCAACAAAATAGGAACGCGAGCGCAAACGACGAGAGAGCTGTCAATGGCGCCTGATTAACCGACTAAACGTAATACACGCTACTTTCATTGTCGCGCTACATCTTCGTTGTACTCTTTAATTTGACAACATTATTTTGCTTCGTTCTTAAAGAAACGTTTTGGATACCTGGGATTTTAGGCTCTTTATGGTGTCTATTGTAATGAAATATTATATTATTTAATAAATGTTATTAAATTAATATCCTCAAGCAGATATATTTAATATTAATTAAGAAATAAGTGAAAAGGAACAGAAACATAACATTTAATAGAGAAAACTGTCGTAAAAAGGGAAACAATTTTATTTTCTTATGAAGTATTTTGAATCATGGAAATGTCAACTATAAAGAACTCTTTTTATGGTTTGTTTACAAATAGTTAACTACCTAAACAGACGGAGTATAAATAACTCTCATCCTTTTCATCCAACTTTGAAGAAAACTAGACGATTTTAAAGTAATTTTTTATTGTACTACCTCGTTAGCTGAGTGGTCGCAAGTGCGACTGGCGGGCAAGTGGTGTCTACTTCCATTCCCGGGTCGGACAAAGTATTATTGGGTTTTTCTTTATTCTCAGTAGTAGCACGGAGTCTGAAATCTTGTGCTCGGTATGTGGATTGCCACATAAATTATGTCAGAGCCTATTGTGGCTCAGCCCCTATCACATGTTACTTATAATATGAATAGTAAAAACTGGGTGTTACATTGTACAGATAGTGCCGTAATGTCGTTCCGGGAATAAAAAAGGCGTGATGTTATGTTATGTTTTTTACTGTACAGGTTTAACAATACTGGGGAAATGAACGGCGGGCCACTATGCCGCTGTAGCGCGCGTGCTCGACGTTACGGCATGAGACACGGTGTCTATGCTAGTGAAGAGGCCTTCCCCAAGTGTATACCGACGCGGAGCAACATTGACAAGCTGTATCATTACAGGTATTTTCATACATTCATACTGCAAGTATTCAACTTAGGATAATAATAATGGGGATGATGACAGGGTATGAAAATTAAAAATATAATTAGTCCGTAAGTTAGGTAATGAAAAAATATTAGACACGTATTTTTTTATTTTGTCGTATAATAAAACAATACTTAGATAAAACAAATCAAAGTTTAGGAGTGGGGGCTAAAATGTCATTTCTTAGTTTAAAATGTACTGAGAAGTGACGTCACGCGACATTTCAAATCAATATATCTTCGAAACTATTCGTTTCTGTGAGAAAATAAAAAATACGTGTCTAATGTTTTTAAATAATCTATCAGACGGACATTAAAATAAAAATTAGTCGTCTACCCTATTGTTGGCTTTTTTGAAAATAAAAGCATAAATAGACGATCAAACCGAACCGTCAGTTTTGTCCGCTCTTCGGATCATATTCGATACGCACATTCTCGCATATATTCAATGGACACCTCTGGACCGCCGAACCAAATTGACGGTACGGTGACGGTTCGGTTAGATAGTCTATTTGTTCTTTTACGTGTAACTAAAATAACTGTATATTATGTAATAGGTATCTGCACAGAGCATTTTTAGTTCTTTGTAAAATGTTCCTTGGTACTTATTCTTAATTAAACTGTCAAACACCAAGCGGTCACCGGTGACCGCTACCTATTGTTCTTTAATTGTGTCTATAAATACGGTACTCGACGAGTTAAGTAGGAAATTATTAATTATATCAGAATTCAATTAAAATGTTTATCCCATCTCATAATTACTTTACGTTTTATCAGCCTTGATTTAAAAATGCAATAAATATAAGTCATAACTCTTATCCTTTTTTACTTTATACATCCTGAAACATAATTTATCTTAATTTTTCAGAATAACAGTATCACCACCAACAAACTTCTTGATAAAGTCTCCAACGATAATAGCTCACGATGAGCACGAGTTCTTATTCTCCGGGTTTTCGATGTTCTCTCACTATAAGCTAGCAAAGTTACCTACGTGCAAAGTAATAAGGTTCAATATCGAGTACACTATCTTATATGTCGAGGAACCAGCGCCACAGAACTTTACTGTCAAGGAATTGGACCTCTTTGGTAAGACCTGTTTGATATTACAACTTATAAATTCGTATTGGGAGAGTCGATGTCTGGCGAAGCAAGATTCATAATATTAGTAACTATCTAACTGTCTCGTTAGTTATGTCGGGTTAATTTGGTCGGGGAAAGTATATTGAGTGTATTTTAATTATAGTATGGAGCCTGGAATTGTTCCTGTTAATGGTAATAGCAATAACCCCCACCCCCCTTCCCCAATCCCTGGATCCCCAACAATCCTCAAATTCTTAATCCCAAAAGGCCAGTAACGCACTTGCAATGTAACGCCTGGTGTCATGGGCGCCCATGAGCGACGCCGATTGCATATCATCAGGTGATCTGTATGCTCGTCTACCGGGTTATTCCATAAAAAAATAGCAATACCTTCACCCCCTATTGTCTCCCTCTATAGTCTCATAACATAACTGATGTAATGTAGGAGAAGAAACTATAAGACGTTATTTTTTCAGAGGAATTTTTATTCTACGAGCTACTGGAGTTAGTAGATTTAGACTTGGGTAAAGGTACTGACACAACTTGCTCGCAGTTTCACTTCATGCCGAGATTCGTACGATATTTACCCGAAGGTGGATGTGAGGTACTTAATTAATCTTTTATACTTAATTATAGTTGCACTTATTCTCTATTCTTAAAAAAAGTGGGTTCTCGTTCAGTTTGTCCTGAGACTTTAGTACGAGTTTCAGTAATCGAAACGAGACGGCGTTCTGTGCTCTGATTGGTTGGTTCATTAGAGCCGGCCAATCACAGCACCGAACGCGTACTCGTTACGATTACTTTAAACGAAACTCGGACTAAGGCCTCTGTATGTATATATGTTTGTGCGTAACTATCTCGCTATTGCCTGGACCTATTTTGATGCGGTGAGTGTTTGTTACACTTATGAGAAGGTTTTATTAATTGACCGACTTTAAAAAACGAAGGGGTTGAAGTCGATGTTTTTAAACCTATTTTATAAAATAATTATTTTACACATTATGGTTTCTAACAATCTCTCAAAATCGCTAATTTAGATTAATTCTATATCCCCTTATCTGTTGAAAGTTGCGGCCATAATGTGTTTTATACTGGGAGCCTGTATAAAACACATTATGGCCGCATGGCGTGTATGTATCAAGGATTTTGTCCTTTAAAATCTAAGTAGTAGTAAGTAAGGTCGACTTTCGTTTGACACTAAGTAATAATTCTAAATCTGATTTTTATGTCGATATTGCTACGAATTTACTTCGACAAATTATTTGCTTGAGGCGTAATACAAGTTCAATTAAATTCCAGGTTCTCTCAATGTGTGAAGTGCTGAAGTATTTGATTGACGAAAGTGGTTTATTGATAGCACCCGATACTTTAGAGGAGGTGCATAGAATGGACCACTACACTTGGCAAAAGTTTGTGGACAGGATTAAAGGTAAGAAGAAGGAATACTAAATCGTTATTAAAAGAATAAATTAACATGATATTTCGACATATGGAGTAACTATAGTCCTTATATTGACCATAGAAATGTAGTATGACCAAAGAAGGGTGTTTCCTATATAACCTCATTTGTATTTCAACCTTAAAACCTTATTATCCCTCTTTGTCGTCTTAATATTACATCTCTCATATTGTAAATACAATTTTATGACCACCACTATAAAGTTCAAATTCAGTTGAAAACCTATTCCCTTTTGTTTTTTATTTTTTTATTGTAAATAGCACCTCATATCCCTTAAAATAAAGCCTAAATTAAGATGACACACTATCTATTTTTAATTTTCCAGGTATGATAGTGACATACCCAGGCAAGAAGCCATGTTCAGTCCGTGTGGATCAGATAGACCGGAGTCCACCAACCACATCTGAGGACTCCAATAAGCCCTACTATCCGGAGATAGTACATTTTGGTATTCGACCACCACAACTCAGTTATGCTGGGAATCCCGAGTAAGTGAACATAATGGAAATAACTTTCAACTAAAAAGTAGCTTGTGTAAAACAACTACTGAATATTTGTACTTGTGTTTCATTTTTGGCTTTATATGTAAAGTATAAAAAAAATTCTCAGTTGTAGCACGGAGTCTGGAACTGTGCCCGGTATATGGCTAGGCCCCCTATTACATGGGACTCATAACATAAATAGTGAAATGTGGGTGTTACATTGTACAGTGGCATAATGAGCACCTCTGCCTACCCCTTCGGGGATAAAAGGCGTGATGTTATGTATGTAAAGTATGGTAATTTTCGAAATTAACTCGAACACTATTACTTGATATAAATCCCCAAAATTTGTTCATACAAAACTAGTCTCTAAACATGTGTAGTGGACAGCGGTCACCGGTGACCCCTTGGGGATTGATCAGTTAATTGTTGGAATTGCATCAATTGCGTGGCAAACGGTTTGGCCCCGTTAAGGGAAAATTTATTTATAGGCATAATAATCCTACCTATTATTTATTGTATCTTGAGTTCCTGATCTATTAAAATCATGGTGACCTGGCTCCTAAACTAGGCTTTTTCGCTGTGCTGTTTCTATACACAAACATACTGCGAAAATAATACAGGTGCAATTTGTGTAATCCAGAAAATGTACAATATTATTAACATTTTTAGATACCAGAAAGCGTGGCGATATTACGTCAAGTACAGACACTTGATCGCCAACATGGCGAAACCATCGTTCAAGGAGCGACAAAAGTTGGCCGCTAAAGAAGCCAAGCTGCAAGAGATGAGGACCCAAAGTAAGATGAAACGCGATGTCACTGTCGCTATATCGTCTGAAGGGTTCCACACGACTGGTCTTATGTGTGACGTTGTTCAGGTCAGTTGTTAGATAAATGTGGTTGGATAGTTCAATCTATCAAATTGTTTGACTGCATTTGGCGCGGTGACTGGGCAACTGGCTGCCGTGCCACGGGCTACGGGTTCAATTCCCGCACAAAGTAACTGTTTGTGTGATCCACAAATTGTTGTTTGTGGTCTGGGTATTATGTGTAATATGAAATTGAATGCTTGTTAGATTGTTTTTTGTGTTTTTGTTTTTCATACTCGTTTCTTACGCTCTTGCATTTCTTACTCAAGTATCGTAGATGAGATAAAATATTATACTTTCACCAAAATACTAATTTAATGAACGAGAAAAAAATGGTTCAAAATCACCTCAGCGCTTTAAGCGTTCATGTCAATAGCAGATGAAACAAAACTCTATGATAAAATTCTACCTGTCACTAGACTTTCACAGCTGAACATAGCCTTGTCCAATATCTTCTAGATCGTACAAATATTGGGGCTCCCTATAAACTTTATATTACATTTCTTTTCAGCACGCAATGTTGATCCCAGTACTAGTAAGACATCTACGCTTCCACAAGTCGTTGGACAGCCTCGAGAATAAAATTGGATACGTGTTCAAACAAAGGGCATTGCTACAAACAGCTCTCACTCATCCGTCGTACAGGGAGAACTTCGGAACGAACCCTGATCATGCAAGGAACAGTTTAACTAACTGTGGTATACGACAACCTGAGTATGGAGATAGAAGGATACATTATACTAGGAAGAAAGGTTGGTTATACTTTTATTATAAACAATTTTTGCGAGTTGTTGTTATTTTGGTTGAGAATTTTTAAGATAAGTCAAAATCGTGTTTGCTAAGGACGCACACGTTGTTTTTTATATTGCCCTTAGTAGACTAGAATTGGGACGATGACAGTGTATGAAAATTAAAAATCTAACTAGTCCGTAAGTTAGGTAATGAAAATATATTAGACACATATTTTTTTATTTTGTCGTAACATAAAACAATACTTAGATAAAACGAATCAAAGGTTAGGAGTGGGGGCTAAAACGTCATTTCTACGTATAAAATGTACATAGAAGTGACGTCACGCGACATTTCAAATCAATATATCGTAGAAAGTATTCGTTTCTGTGAGAAAATAAAAAATACGTGTCTAATGATTTAAAATAATCTACCAGAAGGACATTCAAATAAAAATTAGGCATCTATCTACCCTATTATCTCCTTAATGTCGCGGAGAACCTAACGGGTAACCGGGGCTCCGGCTCGACGTGCAGGAGAAGGAACGGGGTGGTTTTTAGTCAGTAAGAGTCTGACACTCCCTTCCCGCCTCACCCAGGCGGGAGCAGTCATTCGATGATTTTCCCCCCTTAAAAAAAAAATATCTCCTGAGTCATGGAAGTTATGTGAAGAGTCATATCAATTTCAGTAAACAGTTTAATATTATAGCCGAACCGGAAATTGAATCCGTCATCCTTGCTGCTGAGCAAGGATGACGGATTCAATTCAATTGTCAATTCAATCGTGTCATTGCAAACATGTCTCAGCAGACATGTTTGCAATGTCATTGCAAACATGTCTGCTGAGACATGTTTGCAATGACACGATCTCTCGATTCAAAGTCTTACTAGAAACTGTTAAAATATCTAATACTTTTTTATAGCTTTGTAAATAATGGCATCGTATACAAAACTATTCGTATCTTTTTCCCCAGGTATCGTGACCTTAATAAACATAATGTCTCGGTTCGGCAAGCACAGTGAGACGGAGTCGGATATAAAACACAACGAACGATTGGAGTTCCTCGGTGACGCAGTAGTGGAGTTCCTGTCCTCCATACATCTGTTCCGCATGTTCCCCGGCTTGGCTGAAGGTGGACTCGCCACGTACAGAGCTTCTATTGTACAGAATCAGCATCTAGCTCAATTGGCTAAGGTTAATTTGTTTGTTTATTAGTAGTAGAAGACCTATCTTGACAGAAAAGTTCAATGTCCTATACTAAAATGTTTTGTATACTTTATTTTAACGTAATGACATTTCCTAGCGTTTTTTAATAAACAATTAATTCTGTTACACACTCCATACTATGTGTAGTTCCATTTGAATTTCATAATTACAAACAATGGAATTAACATAACATCACGCCATTTATCCCCGAAGGGGTATGCAGATGTATACATTGCCTACGGCACTAAATGCCACTGTCCAATGTAACACCCACTTTTGACTACTTATGTTAGTCCCATGTAATAGGGGGTGAACCTATTCCCATATACCTGGCAAATTGCCAGACTCCGTGCTAATACTGAGATTTTTAAATACCCAGTAATACTTTGCCCGACCCGGGAATCGAACCCGAGACCCCTTGCCCTGCAAGGGCAATGAGGCAGTCAATGGAATTAGTTGAACCATTTTCGAGATTATCGTGCATAAATGTGTCAATAAACCGAATAAAAATAAGTTACTCATACGACTTGCGTTTGTATCTCTAGCCATGTTATTAACAAAATCATTTGTGTTACAGAACATAGAGCTGGAACAGTACATGTTGTACGCGCACGGCTCGGACCTGTGCCGTGAGGTAGTGATGCGACACGCTATGGCAAACTGCTTCGAAGCTCTCATGGGGGCATTGTTCTTAGATGCTGGGATTGATGTAAGTATACGATTAAAATTTTTATAATAATTTATTTTACAATAATTACGATTTAAAAATTGTGTCCAATTATTTTTTCGTCTTGTCTTAAATGAGTTTCGTGGTAGGACAAAGGGCTTTTTAAGCTTGTGGTTTTCTTAAATAGTAAGGAGTTTGAATACGTGCTCTTTGTAAAACGCTAAAAAATAATAATTGACCCTTATTTCATTTACCATATTCGAGAAAAACAGTTATCGATTGCTTGAATCTCTTTTTATTTCGGTGAAGAGAACCACATCACATAACATCACGCCTTTTATCCCTGTAGGGGTAGGCAGAGGTGCACACAGAAGTAACACCCACTTTTCACTATTTATGTTATGAGTCCCATGTAATAGGGGGTGAGCCTATTGCCATATACCGGGCACATTTCTAGACTCCGTGCTACTACTAAGATTTTTTTTAAAAAACGCAGTAATACTTTGCCCGACCCGGGAATCGAACCCGAGACCCCTTGCCCGGCAGTCGCACTTGCTACCAGTCGGCCAATGAGGCAGTCAAAGAACCATTCTAGTATTAATTTCCTATTTTATCTCTACAGGTGGCAGACCGTGTTTTCGCTCTCGCTCTCTGGCACAACCAGCCCGACCTCCTCGACGTATGGACCAAGGAGCGAGCGCATCCACTGCAGGAACAGGAACCGCTCGGTGACCGCAAATATATCAAGGACTTTGAGTTCCTACAGCGACTTGTTAATTTCGAGAATTCTATCGGTAAGTTTGCGTTTATAAGGTAAACTGCATATAATTGTAAGGGTACATAGATTAAGATAAAAACTAAAAATATTAATCGATAATAACTATTACATACAGAGGGCTTCTTCCTCATGAGCAAAGTGCGCGACGTCGCCGCGACCGCGCATTTAAGTTAATTTAATATTAATCCAATTAGTAGCGCTCATGAAAATTTGTAAATATGTATTCCTAGAAGAACGAAGGTTGTTAAGATATTGTCTTAAAATGTAGTAGTTAATTTAGTCTCCCGATTCAGAATTTGTTTAATCAACATATTTTACGTTTAAACTTGTCTTATCTATGACATAACATAACAGAACATCACGCCTTTTATCCCCGAAGGGGTAGGCAGAGGTGCACAATATACCACTGTACAATGTAACACCCACTTTTCACTATTTATGTTATTAATCCTCTGTAATAGGGGGTGAGCCTATTGCCATATACCGGGCACAATTCCAGACTCCGTGCAACTACTGAGAATTTTGAAAAAATCCAGTAATACTTTGCCCGACTTGCAACCACTCGGCCAACGAGGCAGTCTTATCTATGATTTTACATTTTAACGTTTAACGTAAGCTACTAACTTCTGCAGGCTTAATAAATATTCTGATATGATTTTTTTTCTTTGTTTATAGGCGTCCAATTCAAGCACATCCGTCTGCTAGCCCGAGCGTTTACGGACCGGTCCGTAGGGTTCACGCATTTAACGCTCGGCTCCAACCAACGACTCGAGTTCCTTGGCGACACAGTGCTACAACTAGTCGTGTCTGATAGACTCTATCGACACTTCCCTGACCACCATGAAGGACATCTCTCTGTGAGTTATTCATACGTTCAATTTTAGATCTTATGTTTATAGGTTAAATCTGTTTTTTGAAATTGATAGGTGGTAACGAGTTGATGTTTTCATTTTGGTTCAGATGTGTATGTGCAATACTGTATTTCCCGTGTTTTGACGATTCCTGGGTCGGACGCCAAGTATGGAATTGTGCCCAATATATGGCAATGCTGAAAGGCTACTAAAATTTAAGTTGTACTGAAATATCGTGCCATCTCTGTCGTTTTACAAAGAATTTGTAGTGACAGAACCATACTTAAACACGACTTAAAATTGAGTGCCGTTTCAGTATTTGAATATAACATAACATCACACCTTTTATCCACGAAGGCAGAGTGCACATTACGGCACTTAATGCCACTGTACAAGTATTGTATTTGGTATATACATAACTAGCGACCCGCCCCGGCTTCGCACGGGTGCAATATGTATATACATACAAACCTTCCTTAAGAATCACTCTATCTATTAAAAAAAACCGCATCAAAATCCGTTGCGTAGTTTTAAAGATCTAAGCATACATACGGACATACAGCGAAAGCGACTTTGTTTTATACTATGTATTGATAAAACGGCTTGGCACAGACTAGATGGCGCAAGTGGTACAATTAATTATTTTGATATAATTACAACATTAGTATATGGACATTACTGTCTAGTATGTGAATTCATAACATAAATTGTGAAAAAACAATACCCATGCTACAGTTGGGTAAATATAAGTGTTATATTGTTGTTATGTGCAATGAAAGTTCTGCTTTACAAATACAGTTTTAAAACATATATTCTAATCTACGTCGTATACCTCCAGTTGCTTCGTTCATCGTTAGTAAACAACCGCACGCAGTCGATGGTGTGCGACGACCTGGACATGTCCTCGTACGCGATATACAACAACCCCAAAGCTAAACCCACCACCAAGAAACACAAGGCTGACCTGCTTGAAGCTTTCCTCGGAGCTCTGTATATTGATAAGGTAAGTTTCAAAGCCTAGATGTCTAAAATTCAATGACGATGTTATTGTATTGAGCATGAGTCTGTTGTGCTGTGTATTTTATTTGGGTATAAAGTAGGTCACGTGTGTATTTTCGTGGTGTGTTATTAGAGGTTGGTGTTGGCTCTGCTGTAGGTCCACCATTTAAGTATAATTTTGTTTCTATAAGGAAAAGGGTTATGACGACACATGCTATGCTAGGCCAAGTCCTACGACTGTATTTGGAATTATTTTTGTATGTATCGTAATAAGGAAAAATAAATGCAGAATACAAATTGCATAATTTTGTAGTAGAAGCTTGCTACATTATTGCTCAGTATGAAATGTACTGAGATGTGATGTCATGCGATAATTATTTATTGTACCTGAAGGACTGAAAAATACTCTTGAGTTTTCATTGAATGTTTAGTACACTATGAAAGTTATCTCTATAATTTCAATCAAGAATAAAATTTAACTTTCTAATACAGAATTCCTATTTTTCTCTCTATCTCTTTTTTAACCTACCTACTGAGAGTTATGTTGGTGGATTAATTGATTGTAGACGGATTTATTTTACTTGGATTTATTACAATAATGGGCAGGGCGCACGACGTGTACACACACTTAGACTATGACAGGTAGACAGCGGCGTTAATGACGAGTGTCCTACCTTATATAACACATTATAGTGAGGGGGCCACTACTTACTAACTAATGATGATACAGACTAAACATACATGTAACACTGAGTGCTTAATTATATTTCAGAACTTAGACTACTGCCAGGCTTTCTGCAACGCGTGCTTGTTCCCGCGTCTACAAGAATTCATCATGAACCAGGATTGGAACGACCCAAAGTCTAAATTACAACAATGTTGTCTCACTCTACGGTCTATGGAGGGCGGAGAACCTGACATCCCCGTATACAAGTAAGAGCTTTATACTGTTTATTTTGTTGCAAATCTACATAATTAAATATGTATTTCCGTTCGTTAGTTCGCTAAAACGCCAGAACTGAATCGATTTGGCTAATTTTGGTCTTGAAATCGTTGTGGAAGTCCAGGGAAAAAATTTCCGTGATACGAAGTTTGCCGGGTCACCTAGTCTTTGATATAATATTATACCATACTTATTTCTAGATCACCTTTTCTTTAGCTTTGTATTACGACCAGTCTCAATAACCGTCTATAGATTTCGAAACTAGAGATAGAATTACTTAATAGACATAAGGGTAAGATAAATAAATATTATATTTCTAGTTACCAATTATAACAATCGATAGGTTATTAAAATTTGCAATTAATAGACAAAACCAAAGCTGATCTAATCATTCCTATACGGATTAAAAATAATGAATTACATAGTAATGGAAAAATACCTACAGATTTAGAAATAAAACCTTTTCAGCTATATTCCAAACTATTGCAGCAAGTTCTATACCTCGAATATTAATGTTACAGGGTGATCGAGTGTCTAGGTCCAACGAATACGCGCGTCTACACAGTAGGCGTATACTTCCGAGGACAGAGGCTGGCCGCCGCGCGGGGACACTCCATACAAGAGGCGGAGATGAATGCCGCCGAGAAGGCACTGAGCTGTGCTCATGGTATGTATCACTAAAAAGGGTTAAGTACTTATAAGGACGACACTCATTTTAAAAACCAAATTGCATTGCAATTGCATTGCAATTTGGTTTTTTATTGGTAAATTGAGTTTTATACTGTGACACAGACTAATCAATAACAATAAATGCAGAAAAATCACCTATTTATGTCACGGTACCTTGTAAAATATTACAAAGTTTAACTTAAAAATAATTGGTAAAATAATTACAGATATGACTAAAATTTCAATTTACGTAAATTTAGGCCAGATAGTGGTCAAACGTCGACCCATTAAATATGAAAATAAAAAAACGTAACACGTTTTGCGTTGACTGAATCCCTAATATAATATTTTATTCTACAGAACTATTCCCGCAACTAGACCATCAGAAACGAGTTATAGCAAAGAGTCTACGTAAGAAGAAGAAGCGTGCAAATGGTAACAATAATAGCCCACAAGACGGGACAGCGGTCAAGAACCCGAAATTCGACGACAAAGTACCAAAAGCTTATAGACTTGATACTCAGTACGAGAGTTCTGAAGAAAGCAACCCAGCTATGTCTGAAGAAGAAGCCGTACCAGCTGATAAATCTAATGAAGATTCTGGACTAGACAGTGACTCTTCATTGCCGCAAGACAAACTTGATCAAGTACAAGTAAGCAGTCTGTTAAGTGACATGCAGAAAATTAAAGAAGATTTGATCAGACGCAACGAGTATGAAAAGTTGAAGGAAAAATGCCGCCGATCTGATTCTGATGATGATTAATCAGGTTGAAACTTTAAGTTTAGTTAGTAGCTGCCATTCTTTTTTTTATTATGAAATTTGACACAAATAGAATTGAAAATGAATTAATGTGTTGTAGTCATCGATTGTTTATGATTCATGTCATTGTGGTATATTAATTTTCGCTAAAAACATACTACGGTTTTATTTATAGGAATTATTTAGTCATAGTCCTATTTCTTTAGCTTCAATCTAAAACTTATTCATTTCAGTAGAAAAGTACCTATACTTCGTTCTGAGGCAGAGGAGGAGTACGCGTTGGGCGTTGTGATTGGTCGGCCCAAATGAACCGACCAATCAGAGCGCCAGACGCCGTCTCGTTTCGATTACTTTAAAGGAAAAAAAAACTAGTACTAAGGCCTCTGATGTAATTTTGTGTAGTAGTTAGCATAAGCCTATTATAATGTATCTGTTGATTCGCCATTTAATAAATAAAAAAAATAAAATGCATTAAATACTCACACATAGATGTTTGTCGTGCGGATAAAGCTACCAATAACTTAATTGTCTGTATATTATTGCAAAGTATGTTCATGGAAAATAGTAAAGCCTTCATGGTTATTTCTGAACAGTTTCGTCTTTTAAAAAGTGTGATATTGACTAATTGTATGTATGATACTGGAGTTTGTATATTCTTGTATTGATGACACTCATGGATGTAGTGAAAATGAAAAGAGCTTATGAATTAAGGTCTGAATATATTCAAGAAAATCCTCGACCAAAGAATCATTCTTCGAATTAATCAAAATCAGTTTTGAATCTATCTTATTTACAGGCAGATACAGAAATACTCATTGAATAAGCTACTATAAAAGTCTATAGTATAAAAGTTTATAGTAGCTTATTCAATGAGTATTTCTGTAAAGGCAAAGTTGCCTTTTACGAAATAAAGCTCATAATAATATTTTAAAAACAGTTTAAGGTGCACGTTTTAAGTAGAGTAGGACACGTGCGAAATTTACGCCTCGTGATATTGAAATGTCATTAATAATTATTTGAAAATATTTATTAACTTTTACCTTTTGACCGCCAGAGTGCATGTGCACGACAAGCCAAACAGTGCCCAGTGCGGTCTGATTGGTTGGTTCAGTGGAGCCGGCCAATCAGAGCGCTGAACGCGCTCGATATTATTAAGTTACGAATGCGATAGTTATTCATGTTTAAAACTCAGCACGTCACAATGGCGACTCTCCGACTCACTTAAATAAAGCTTTATTTTTTTATTTCCTTAAGTCATTCTTATATTTCGTTTATTATATAAATAAGATAAAACATATTCTAAAAGAAACTATATTTAGCTTGGCCCTGAGGTCATATCTTTGCTTTTTTGACGTGGCGATCAAAAGGTTTAAACCGTCTGTATCTCAAAAGGAAAAGGTACCATGTTGAAAGATGCAAATTATTTGTCTTTTTTTCGGGCATTAATAAGTAGAACATTATATCTTAAAAAAATGAATCAAATGAATGTGATGGAATTTTGAGATAAAGGCATGAAATGCTAGACGAAGCAGACTGGTCACTTTTGACTGTAAAGAAATGTAAGTAGTTTTAAACAACTCATGTATGTGTTTTAGATCGATAAGTTTTATTGTCTAATAGTCCGGTCAAAATAAACATTAAACATATAAAAAATTGCCCAGGCTACACCTACAAATAAAGTATCAAAAGAACTCTATTAATGCAATGTGTGCCAAAAACTTAACAAGGTTTTTTAGCACACTTTGATCCGATGGCGACTTTTGACATGTTATTTGTAATAGTGTAACCAAATATTGTTTTTTTTTTCATTTGATCAATAGTTTATAGCGAACTTGACCGGACTATAAGTAATTTTTCCTATATTAATCAAAAATCAATTTAATGAAAGTAGTCAGTAAGGAGTATTTTACCTAAAAAGTCACCGGTTCGTACCATTTGTTTTTTTTTATTTTATCGAAATGGATTCTGTTTTTTATTCGTTGATTTTAAATGATTTCGTAATAATATGTATTGTTTATATTAGGTATAGTTTGACGGATATTGTTGTATGGCGACCTATTTAAGCACGACGAGGTAAATAATATTTCAAGAGTTTGGAAATCAAAAGCTCGACTTCATAATAAGGTCGACATTCGGATCAGATTACCAAGCACGAATAACTATCGCATTCGTATCGTAATAGTATCGAGTGCGTTCAGCGCTCTGATTGGCCGGCTGAAGTGAACCAACCAATCAGAACGCTTAACTCGCTCGATACTGTTACGATACGAATGCGATATTTATTCGTGCTTGGCCCTCTGATATCAGATAGACTCGCCGTACTACGCGATACACCGGTATCAGGCAAACTATAACACTTTTAGAAAGAGAATTTAGTATTATTTAGTTCTCCTTTATTTGTATGGTTTACTTGTGTGATAAAATTTTTGGTTGTTATTCTAGACTTTAAATAAGAATTTATAGCTAAAGGGCTCATCAACTTGTAACACATCATTTCATGGCTTTTTTGGTGCTTTTAGAGTATTTTGGATTGAGGACAAAACGTGTGAATATATTTTAAGAGGCTCTTAGATTATGTGTATTTCATTTCGGATTGGTACGAGTCAGCGTTGGGTTGCTTTGCAATGTAGTTTTATTATTTAGGTATTTTATCCAATTTTCGCGCAATGTTACGTAGTCTATTAGTAAACTGTAGTTAATCCTCAAAAGTAGCAGGTCGTGTAACGAGTTGATGAGAACTTTAATGCTATAATATTCAATGTACCAAGCAAATTCTGTAGCTTTTTAGTCACTAATAACTATTTATATTGATACTAAATACAATGAATTACTATATATGTCTGTCTATTGTAATAGCGAGTTTATGTATTTAGAATCGTTTACAGTCATTTTCAATAACCCATCTGTCTACTAATTTGGCTATTTGAAATTGATATTTGAAAATAAATTGCATACAAAATGTTTAAAAATTCCACCTCTATTAGCCAAATCAAATGACAGACAGGTTATTAAAACTGGTCATTAGTTGTAAGGTTATCATGTAAATTAGGAACAAATAAAATACTGATATAAATGGCGGTATATATTTTATTTCTAACTACGTTAGTACAATACAACGCAGCATAGAGTAAAAGCGATTGGTCCTTTCATTTTCTTAGCTCGTAACGTCAGCCATTGCTTCTGATTAGGAACGTACATCTCGGCTGGCATCAGCTGTTCTGGTGTGTCGTTTTCTGATGCTGTAAATAAAAATGGACTTATAATAACTATCGTGAGACATACTAAATACAGAGTGCCAAGCACGAATAACTATTGCAATCGTATCGTAACCGTATCGAGCGCGTTAAGTGTTCTGATTGGTTGGTTCACTTGAGCCGGCCAATCAGAGCGCCGAACGCGCTCGGTACTATTACGTTACGAATGCGATAGTTATTCGTGGTTGGCCCTCTGTAGTAAGTACTGTAGTTATAGGCCGCGACATCGTCGTGACCGCGCACGCTGCTCATGAGGAAGAACCCCTCTGTGGTTCGAAACTAGTAGAGCTTTTCTCAGTGATTTTTACCTCCCCTCGATTTTTAGTTAAAAATGGACTTTATATTAAAACTGTAAATTTTAAATTCTATCCGCTGATGATGAGCTTACCCTCCTTCCGAACTTGTTGTGCGGACTGCATAGTGGAGTCTTGCATTGATATTAAATCTCCAGGAGCATGCAGCAGTAATCTGCCCACTCCTTCACATCTCCTGTAATAAAAGGTATAATTATCATCTAGACTTCCAAATTACCCAAAATAAGTTTACGACTTCTTGTTAATTTGACGTATTTCCCACATAAAATGAGACACCAGTTACGCTAAGGAAAAATTAATTAAACCGCTAACATGTCCTTTATTCCCTTTACCTGACAAAGGGTTAAAATAATTAGTATAAGCATGTTTACCTTAGCACTTCGTTCTGTAGCATTTGTTTCCTCGACGCGGTCGCAAGTTGTTTGCACTCGCTTAACCAGTTCCTTACTTCGTTAAAATCATGCAACAGTTGCATCGCTGCATCTTTTCTGAAAGAAAAAGTAACCTCTTTTAAACAAATTAAAACGCTTGGCTGTCACAAGCCAGTCCCTTTAGTCGTTCTTTGTGACGTCATTAAGCCCTAACGAGTAGGACGTGTGCGGCGGAGAGCGCAAAAGGATCTGGGCGTGAGCCCGATGGTTACTATAGAATCATTTTTAACCTTCTTGCCACACCTTGAAGGGTACCTATATAGGTAATTATAAATAGATACTGTATTGGACTAGGCACAATAAAATAAAAGTGATATATATATCACACTAAATGCATTAAAGAGATTTGATTTAAAAAGTACTTACGTGAACTTAACTTTAGCGACGTAGATATGATGTAGCCAAGACTCGCACATTATTCTGAGTATCATGTTCAAAGTCGTTATGTCTTGCGTCGCCATTATTACCGGTAACAACATTTTATCTGGAACAAAAATGACATTTCTTACATATTTAGATATAGGCAGTGTCGTTAGAACTTCCGATAACAGATGGCAGTCTTAAATAATAATATAATACTGCTTACGTTCTATTGGATCCAAAATCCTGAGAACCCAAAGACCCAAAAGACTAAAAGGATTTACCATTAGGTGATTGGTCTGTTCATTTGGCCCGAGCATATCTCATTAAAAAAGTTACACATTCGATTTATCGATAATATAATTATATCTCTTGGTAACTTACTTAGGAACTCGTGTACATAAATGGAGTGTATAGTTTGTGGTGGTCTGGTGACGAGCCGCCACTCCGCGTTGCTCGGGAATATCATGGTCAGGTGGGCTAGGCTTGTGGTCGTACATACTGATGATAACACTTGGATTATTTCGTCTGTGGCGTCCTGGAAGAAAATATGTAAATGATTTTAGTTTCATACATATCAACTCTCTTTGTCTTCTCCTCTTATAATTAATATCGTCTGATTAATTTCCTTGCGGGATACAAGACAGTTATACACGTCCCTGGGACGCGTCGAACTTCAGTGTTCCCGTGTTTCCATGGTTGTATTTACCGTAGATCTTGGCTTACAGGAGTTGCAGAGGTTTTGGAGGTTGTGGCGGGGTTGCCAATTAAAAAAATATCAAAAGGTCGTGGAAAGTCATTGCTGGACTAACATGCCTCTTCTATACAAGAAGATTAGATACATGCCACTATACAATATCCAGGTTTGTCAGGAAGACTAGGAGTGCTTGCAGGTTAGGTTGAATAGAGAGCGCTGCGTTACTATACAGGTATGAAATTATTATTACTGTATACCTTTAGTTTTTGTATGTTGACTTTTACTTCTGATACCAATTTCTCCCTCATCTTGGCGCATACGTTTTCGTGAACTCCAATTTTGCCTGGAATATTTCAAATCGTACTTTAGAATCAGTTAAGACAGCAGTGTATACGTATCTTAAACGCCAATTTTTATAAAATTAAATATACGGAGAACGTACCTGATTCAATAGTAACTGTATGGTCAGCAAATCTTAAGTTGATTAGTTGTTCCATGCAAGCTTGCATGTCATTGTGTGCGATACGGAAGAAGTCTTTCATTTCCCACAAGTTGGCTAAACGCCGTGTCTCCGCCAAACACCATAGCCGGTACGTGTGGATTGAGTGATCTGAAATATTAATAAAAAAAGATAAATGTAAGTTTTTTGTTGAACGTCACAACGTGAATTTTTTAGACGGGATTTTTGAGGCCAGTAACACAATACTTTAAGTGAGCCTAAAACTACCACTCCCACCTTAGCCCTTAAAATCAGTAAGCAACTCCTTACAAAGGAGGATGTTATGCAAAGAGGGATATGATTTTTTTTTTATCTTGGATTTTGAGATCAATTGTTAAATCAGACTACGGCAAGGCCACACTTCAGGGCCGGATTTAGTGGTCCAGAGGCCTCGGGGCAACAAAGGAGTGGAGGCCCCCTTGCCCCAAATTATTTTCCAGATTGAGATCGAGGACGCTCGATTGATTTCGATGACGCTCGATAGATTTCGAGGACGCCCGATAGATTTCGAGGACGCTCGATAGATTTCGAGGACGCCCGATAGATTTCGAGGACGCTCGAAAACGATCGAGGACTCTCGATAGATTTCGAGGACGCTCGAAAACAATCGAGGACGCTCGATTAATTTCGAGGACGCTCGATAGATTTCGAGGACACCCGATAGATTTCGAGGACGCTCGAAAACGATCGAGAACTCTCGATAGATTTCGAGGACGCTCGAAAACGATCGAGGATGCTCGATAGATTTCGAGGACGCTCGAAAACAATCGAGGACGCTCGAAAACGATCGAGAACTCTCGATAGATTTCGAGGACGCTCGAAAACAATCGAGGACTCTCGATAGATTTCGAGGACGCTCGATTAATTTCGAGGACGCTCGATAGATTTCGAGGACGCCCGATAGATTTCGAGGACGCTCGAAAACGATCGAGGACCCTCGATAGATTTCGAGGACGCTCGACAACAATCGAGGACGCTCGATTGTTTTCGAGGACGCTCGATAGATTTCGAGGACGCCCGATAGATTTCGAGGACGCTCGAAAACGATCGAGGACTCTCGATAGATTTCGAGGACGCTCGAAAACAATCGAGGACGCTCGATTAATTTCGAGGACGCTCGATAGATTTCGAGGACGCCCGATAGATTTCGAGGACGCTCGAAAACGATCGAGGACTCTCGATAGATTTCGAGGACGCTCGAAAACGATCGAGGATGCTCGATAGATTTCGAGGACGCTCGAAAACAATCGAAGACGCTCGAAAACGATCGAGAACTCTCGATAGATTTCGAGGACGCTCGAAAACAATCGAGGACTCTCGATAGATTTCGAGGACGCTCGATAGATTTCGAGGACGCCCGATAGATTTCGAGGACGCTCGAAAACGATCGAGGACCCTCAATACATTTCGAGGACGCTCGAAAACAATCGAGGACGCTCGATTGATTTCAAGGACGCTCAATAGATTTCGAGGACGCCCGATAGATTTCGAGGACGCTCGAAAACGATCGAGGACTCTCGATAGATTTCGAGGACGCCCGATAGATTTCGAGGACGCTCGAAAACAATCGAGGACGCTCGAAAACGATCGAGGACTCTCGATAGATTTCGAGGACGCTCGAAAACAATCGAGGACGCTCGAAAACGATCGAGGACTCTCGATAGATTTCGAGGACGCTCGAAAACAATCGAGGACGCTCGAAAACGATCGAGAACTCTCGATAGATTTCGAGGACGCTCGAAAACAATCGAGGACGCTCGATTGATTTCGAGGACGCTCGATAGATTTCGAGGACGCCCGATAGATTTCGAGGACGCTCGATTAATTTCGAGGACGCTCGATAGATTTCGAGGACGCCCGATAGATTTCGAGGACGCTCGAAAACGATCGAGGACTCTCGATAGATTTCGAGGACGCTCGAAAACAATCGAGGACGCTCGATTAATTTTGAGGACGCTCGTTAGATTTCGAGGACACCCGATAGATTTCGAGGACGCTCGAAAACAATCGAGGACGCTCGATTAATTTCGAGGACGCTCGATAGATTTCGAGGACGCCCGATAGATTTCGAGGACGCTCGAAAACAATCGAGGACGCTCGAAAACGATCGAGGATGCTCGATAGATTTCGAGGACGCTCGAAAACAATCGAGGACGCTCGAAAACGATCGAGGATGCTCGATAGATTTCGAGGACGCTCGAAAACAATCGAGGACGCTCGAAAACGATCGAGAACTCTCGATAGATTTCGAGGACGCTCGAAAACAATCGAGGACGCTCGAAAACAATCGAGGACTCTCGATAGATTTCGAGGACGCTCGAAAACAATCGAGGACGCTCGAAAACGATCGAGGATGCTCGATAGATTTCGAGGACGCTCGAAAACAATCGAGGACGCTCGAAAACGATCGAGAACTCTCGATAGATTTCGAGGACGCTCGAAAACGATCGAGGACTCGATAGATTTCGAGGACGCTCTAAAACAATCGCGGACTCTCGATAGATTTCGAGGACGCTCGAAAACGATCGAGGACTCTCGATAGATTTCGAGGACGCTCTAAAACAATCGCGGACTCTCGATAGATTTCGAGGACGCTCGAAAACGATCGAGGACTCTCGATATATTTCGAGGACGCCCGATAGATTTCGAGGACGTTCGAAAACGATCGAGGACTCTCGATAGATTTCGAGGACGCTCGAAAACAATCGAGGACACTCGATTAATTTCGAGGACGCTCGATTGATTTCGAGGACGCTCGATAGATTTCGAGGACGCCCGATAGATTTCGAGGACGCTCGATTAATTTCGAGGACGCTCGATAGATTTCGAGGACGCCCGATAGATTTCGAGGACGCTCGAAAACGATCGAGGACTCTCGATAGATTTCGAGGACGCTCGAAAACAATCGAGGACGCTCGATTAATTTTGAGGACGCTCGATAGATTTCGAGGACACCCGATAGATTTCGAGGACGCTCGAAAACGATCGAGGACTCTCGATAGATTTCGAGGACGCTCGAAAACAATCGAGGACGCTCGATTAATTTCGAGGACGCTCGATAGATTTCGAGGACGCCCGATAGATTTCGAGGACGCTCGAAAACAATCGAGGACGCTCGAAAACGATCGAGGATGCTCGATAGATTTCGAGGACGCTCGAAAACAATCGAGGACGCTCGAAAACGATCGAGAACTCTCGATAGATTTCGAGGACGCTCGAAAACGATCGAGGACTCTCGATAGATTTCGAGGACGCTCTAAAACAATCGCGGACTCTCGATAGATTTCGAGGACGCTCGAAAACGATCGAGGACTCTCGATATATTTCGAGGACGCCCGATAGATTTCGAGGACGTTCGAAAACGATCGAGGACTCTCGATAGATTTCGAGGACGCTCGAAAACAATCGAGGACGCTCGATTAATTTCGAGGACGCTCGATAGATTTCGAGGACACCCGATAGATTTCGAGGACGCTCGAAAACGATCGAGGACTCTCGATAGATTTCGAGGACGCTCGAAAACAATCGAGGACGCTCGAAAACGATCGAGGATGCTCGATAGATTTCGAGGACGCTCGAAAACAATCGAGGACGCTCGAAAACGATCGAGAACTCTCGATAGATTTCGAGGACGCTCGAAAACGATCGAGGACTCTCGATAGATTTCGAGGACGCTCGAAAACAATCGAAGACTCTCGATAGATTTCGAGGACGCTCGAAAACAATCGAGGACGCTCGATTAATTTCGAGGACGCTCGATAGATTTCGAGGACGCCCGATAGATTTCGAGGACGCTCGAAAACGATCGAGGACGCTCGAAAACGATCGAGGATGCTCGATAGATTTCGAGGACGCTCGAAAACAATCGAGGACGCTCGAAAACGATCGAGAACTCTCGATAGATTTCGAGGACGCTCGAAAACTATCGAGGACTCTCGATAGATTTCGAGGACGCTCGAAAACAATCGAGGACGCTCGAAAACGATCGAGAACTCTCGATAGATTTCGAGGACGCTCGATAGATTTCGAGGACGCCCGATAGATTTCGAGGACGCTCGATAGATTTCGAGGACGCCCGATAGATTTCGAGGACGCTCGAAAACGATCGAGGACTCTCGATAGATTTCGAGGACGCTCGAAAACGATCGAGGACTCTCGATGGATTTCGAGGACGCTCGAAAACAATCGAGGACGCTCGATTAATTTCGAGGACGCTCGACAGATTTCGAGTTTAAGTATTGAAGAATACCAATTGTTCACATACTGCAATTATTTTTTTTAATGGTCGAGACACGGAATCGAATAGCCAACCTCCGAGGTTGCGGGCAAGTACCATCCCACTGACTGAGCCATTGAGCCATTGGGGTACTCCCTCAAGATGGGTAGTAAATTGGAAGTGCTTATCAGAGCCATTTGAGATTTTGATATTTCACTGATTGCCTGATTGGAGTGAACAAATATAGATCAATGATTTCTGTTTCTGTTAATATTTAAAATTAATATAATCAAATAATCATGTATGTATAAAGTACTTTAGGCTGTAGGTAAAGGTAAAAGCGAAAAAAAAAAATATCAAAGAAAAGATGTTTACTAGGTTTACTAGTTGAAATTTGAAAGATTTTTCTTTCCGAAGTCTCTATTGTGGAGGCCCCCTGCTTGTGGAGACCCCGGGGCTTTTGCCCCGGTTGCCCCCCCCCCCCCCCCCCCTGCCACACTTAATGAAGAATTAAATTATTAATTTGATTAAAAAATTCGGCCCTGCCACACTTAATGAAGAATTAAATTATTAATTTGATTAAAAAATTCTCACCTAATCGATGCAGAATAGGTATTTGTTCGACAATAGGTAAGTCTTCCAGTGGGGCTCCTAGAATGTAGTCCCACGTGACTTCGCATTGGTTGTTTAGTGTAACCAAGGATTGCAGCATTAAAGCGAAACTTGCACCAGACTCTGTACTCTGAAAACAAAAGTTAACAAAAAGAAACAATTGAAAATCATTATGTTCTTAGTAAATAGCATAGGTAAATAGGTAATATGTTTTATTATTTACTAAAAACAAAATGATACTATTTATTAAAAACAACTAACCTCTTATCTTTGTATTGTAACTTTCGTGAGACATACTAAATAAATTATTATGTTTTCGGCTTACTCACGTAATAATTTGACGAGGAACAAGACTAGTTTCAAGCCATGCTAGACGCTCATATTCATGAGCAGCATTTCGCGACCCACGACGCGGCGACTGTCGCGCTGCTACTGTCGAGTTCCTCATCAAATTATTACGTGAGTAAGTAAGCCGAAAACATAATAATTTATTTAACCTCTTATCTGTTGAAACACCGGCTCTCGGTATAAACCACATTATGGCCGCAACTTTCAATAAACAAGAGGCTAATAAAGTTGTGACTCGTGGTAAAGGAAAAAATAATAAATTCGCTCCGTTGCCACGCACGTGAAAAACGAACAAATAAATAAAAATGTACTATTGTTTTACATACCTCCGTAATGTATAAAGATATCTCAGGGTTGATTTTTAACGTTGTTAATTTTAAGTTTGTAGTAAGAGTTGCACTGAAACAGAATGAAAACAAAAATTTTATAGATCAACAAATAAAGAAGACAGTTAAATTGTTAACAGTTGTAGAATGTATATCCCTACCCAAAATATTTGTCCCAAGATGTGGATGTTACGTGACATCCTAGAGCATCCGCCAATATTCTCAGTGCTGATAATATTAGTTCTGGAGTATCTGGAATGAGGCACAGGACAATATTAATTACGATATTACTACTCAATGTAGGCAAAAGTTGATTTGATCAATTTGAACATTTGATCAATAATCGCATTGTAAAGATAACGTAGTACCTATTTAAATAATTAATGTTTCACAACAGTTCTTAAATATATCAAATTATAAAATAAACCTACTTACTGTTAACATTGAACGTAGCAAATAACCACTCACGAAGATTTTGACTTGTATTTGGTGATCTACAAAGAAAATTGACAAAGATAAGTAGGTACTATTTTCCAATTTTGCGGAACTCATTGCTTACCACCAGGTCAGTCTGCTAGTTTGCCAAACTTCCGACAAATGAAATAATTAAAACTGTATAACCTCATGGCCAATGGATAATGTGACCACCATAGAACGATGTGTTCTAAACAGCTTCCGACATCACCCCAAAGTATATTTTGGTAATATTCAGTTACTTTATGAGCTGCTTTCTTGCTGGCTTGAATTCTACCTAGAAAATAAAAAGAAGTATTGATAATTTGTAGTCACAAAAATTGTTGCGCTACTCTGTAACACATACAGTTTCCCGCGTCTTCCCATTCCATTGCGGCTGTGCAGTGCATACACGGCAATGGAATGAATTAAACAGAATTCCTTTTTTAAAATAAGAGCGTATTCCTTTTTTAAAGGCCGGTAACGCACCTATGACTTCTCTAGTGTTGCGGTTGTCCATGGGCGGCGCTGATCGCTTACCCTCAGGTGATGCGTATGCTTGTTTGCCTCCTATTCCATAAAAAAAAAACAGAGGGAACAAGCACCGCAGCGGCGCGGTGTAAATATACATAAATGTATAGAAAATTAGTTACCATTTTTTAACTTCTTTACACCATTTTGTCCCAATAAGTTTGGTGACAAATTTGCTACCGTATCTAAAAGTATTTCTATGTACATTTCTTCACTTTGCAGTATACTATTTATATTGTCTGAAACAAGAAGCATTCATATAGGAGTATTCTTTGTTTTATAAAATATCTTTATATGATTTATGATCTTAATCCAATGGGATAGAGAATAATCATGCCGTTCATGAATTATATTTCTAAAGTCAAATATGTGCCGAATGGAGTGATACCATGACCTCATGTCTAAACCCCTCAAAAGGCGTCCAACGCACTTGTGGCCACAAGCGATGCTGATTGCTTACTACCAGGTAATACATCTGCTAGTTTGCCCCGCTATCATATAACTAATAATCGGTCTCTATTAGTATGGAATTTAAGGATTTTTTTTACCTTCGGTGTTAAAAATATGTTCTAAAGTGTACTCATTGGTCAACAGTGACATGTAAGGTACTTCAGCATCAGAATTCTGAGTCGCCACCAGTTCGTTTAGCCGTTTATTGTGTTCATTTTTCAATTCTATAAGACTCTGAGCTTGTTTCATCTTCAATTTTTTGTTAACTATGAATGCGTCTCTTCGCTTGTCAACTACCATATTTCGAGACATTGTTGATGTTGGTGGGGTGATGTGCTTCGTTAGTGTGCTGAAATGTAAAAGTCTTTAATTTGCTTTGTGACAAGAAAGTTAAGGTTCAATATTGCTTGGCTTTTTTAGGGTAGGAAATATTGCATGAACATTTCTAGTTAGGTAATTTAATGCAGCAACAGCATAAGTTGGTATCAGTATGGCAAATAGAAAGATTAATGTCATTTTTATAAATTTTTTCATCCTTTATGGCTCAGTGGCGCCCAAATTAATTATCTCTTACAAAAACTCTGTGCAATCAATTTACTTACTGATATATTTCCAGACTCTCTGCCGAACTAGAACTAGAATCATTATCGGAGTTATGGTCAGGCTGATACACTTTCACTAAACAGTTAATTAAGCGTTGACAGTTGATTTCTGCGCGACTTTTTGATAGAACCTGTGGGGAGACAGATTTAGTTACTCACAATAATGTTTACATACCATTGTTTTCCTCTATTAGCTATTTGATTTTTACTATAGGTACATGGACACATGAATGTATTACCTAAGCAGAGTTTAGCAAATACGATTCAATCTCTTCTTATTTCTTAAAATGTTGTTAAGTACGTATAATTGTACTACTGGGTTTTTAAAAAAATTCTCAGTAGTAGCACGGAGTCCGGAATTGTGCCCGGTATATGGCAATAGGCTCACCCCCTATTACATGGGACTCATATAAACACAAATACCGAAAAGTGGGTGTTACATTGTACAGTGGTATAATGGGCACCTCTGCCTACCTTTTCGAGGATAAAAGGCGTGATGTTATGTTAGGTATGTATAGTCTTACAAATACTTACAACATGTCGATAATGTCGAATAAAATACCTACGAGTTCAAGGGTAAACATCATGTTTTCAGAATAATCACATCAATTGCTATTCAGGAAGGGTTTGTAAATTAGGAGGTAACTGCGCAGTTTCCAATGTTATGTAAAGTTTATACAAATTCATGCAGGAGCCATGATACTATGGATATCAGCTCGCGACTGCTTTATAGTAAGCTATCAGTAGGTAGGCACAAGTTATCTACTGCGGTACTATGCATGTCTTTTTTTTAGAGACAAGCCCACCACTGCCTCCCAAAACCGCTGCAACTCCATTAAGTCAGTATCTACAGTATATACAACCATGAAACACCGGAACACTGAAGTCCGGCGCGTCCCAGGGACATGAGTAACTGTCTTGGTTCCCGCAACGAAATGAATCAGAAGATATTATAAGAGGAGAAGAAAAAACTATAGTTTCCACTTCCCTCGGTGAATTAAAGCAGGAGACAATATGAATTAAGCCTAAAGGCACAAAAAAGAGACTGTACAACTAGGTGAAGCCCAGTCGCCAAACACCACGGAAATTTAACTAATAACTATGCAGGTATATAGTTACCTGGATGATAGTTAGCAAGGTGGTAAATAGGTGAATTTAGAATTATTGTAGGATGTAGATTTTACATTACAGGTAGAAACCGGACGAGATTAACACACCACACTTAGACATTTTTTTAATAAGGGAAAATCATCGAATGGCTTTTCCCGCCTCGTCAGACTCTTACTGACTAAAAACCACCCCGTTCCTACTCCAGCACTTCGAGCCGGAGCCCCGATAACCTTTTACGTTCTCTGCGGCTCCGTATCGGCGTCAACCCTATTGGGCCTCATCTGTGGTGGTCTGATGACTATCATACTCAGACCTGGATTAAGGATTGGTTGTTGTTGACGCTGTAGGTAATTAAACCCGCCAAACATATAGTTCATTTTCTTTTAAGGGGGAAAAATCATCAAATGACTTCTCGGAGCCTGGGTGAGGCGGAAGGGTGTTTCAGACTCTTACTGACTAAAAACCACCCCGTTACTTCTCGTGCACTTCGAGCCGGAACCCCGGTAATCCGTTAAGATCTTATTTAATACATGACAGTAGGTAGTTTAATACATGGTAGTAAGGTACTTACTTGAACAATTTTCGTTAAAGATAAATTTTTAGTTTCACTAATGATGTTCGGATACGAGTTGCTTCCGATATTAAACTTCGCGGCGAACTTCTTATAACTTAAGCCGATCATGTCATTGTATATTCCAACCAAGCTGAAAGATATAATATTTAAATTACAATTTGAAAGGAGAAATGATAGGATATCTTGAAAATAGAATAAAAATAAAGGATCCATTATTTCAATAGCAGTAAAAAATCGGAAATAACGGTATTTTCAGTACAAAATTAGGAATCTCAAAGCCTCAAGTATTTAATTTAATGAGTAGGAATTTTGAGTGTAGATATGTACGGACATTCTGCACTATACCTCTTTGAGGACCATGCCTATGAGTAAAAGTAAAAGATGATTATGAAAAAGGTAGATATATAAACTGTAAAGTAGAATAGACTGCCTCGTTGACCGAGTGGTCGCAAGTGCGAGTGCCGGGCTAGGGGTCTTGGGTTCGATCCCCAGGTTGGGCAAAGTATTACTGGGTTTTAAAAATATCTCAGTAGTAGCACAGAGTCTGGAACTGTGCCCGATATATGGCAATAGGCTGACCCCCTATTAGATGGGACTCATAACATAAATAGTGAAAAGTGGGTGTTACATTGTACAGTGGCATAATGTGCACCTCTGCCTACCCCTTCGGGGATAAAAAGGCGTGATGTTATGTATAATATAAACTTTGGAAAATAATTTAAGAAAAATCTCATCTCACCTCAAACAAGATTCAATCATTTTCCTGGAATCCTCTCGATGTAGACATGTGTTCAGTATAGTATTTATAAGTCCATGTATACTTTGCAACATCACAAACCGTATGCTACACAATTTATCAAAAATATGATCATGTTTACTCTGAAGCAATCCATTGTCTTTTTTCAAACGAGCCAACTTCGGATTCAATTTGTAAAATGATTTCACTAATTTCGTTAAATATTCTATTATTTGATCTAATACCTGGAACATAATAGAAAAGAAATTGCGATTTATTTTTATCATCGTCCCAAAAACTAGATAAATGAAATGGAATCGAACCCTGGATCCTCAAGTTAACAGTAATACTTGTGACCTCTATAGTAAAGTGAAAGAAAGAGGTTGCAATAAATAATAATTAAGCAATTCAAAACAATACTGCTAACCTAGATATGAAATATCAAGTAATGCCATTATTGATTAACAATTAGGTATAAATGGAAATGAATGAAAACAGCTGACGTTGTTTTTTCTTGATCTGATTTAAATTTCTCTTGTAATTCAAAACTGATCATAGGACTTATCAATTATACATTGTATTCTGCATTACATTTTTAACTTTCTAGTCACTTCTATGATAGGACATTTAGGTATTAATAAAAGCTTACACCATATGCAGTCATATGTATCTAACATTGTAAATACAAAACCAAGTTTAAAAGAAAACAAACTCACCTGTATATTAACTAATTCCATAATATAATTCCGATTGGACAGCGAATGCGAATTATTTTTACCAAGTGCACCCTTCCATTTGTTATCAGAGTCTAATATCACTTTAGTTACAGCAAAACAAACCATTTCCATCTCCCGACAATGAGCGAACAGTTCCTCCTCATCAGGAGTTTCTTCACTTATCCACTTCTTACTAGTCACTTTAGTAGATAACATTGTTAAAAAAATATTTGCTAGCGAAAAATAAAAATAAAAAGTTTCTAAAGGTTCGTACTAGCTGGTGGGAATCATGGTAACGACTGAATCACTGCATAGTATTGTGTATAAAATCGATGTGTAGCGACGTCGGTACCAGGACCGAGGTGCTGCCAACAAAGCGTCTAAACCCTTGCTGGACAACTTGCGAATTTCGATCGTTAAACTTTTTATTAGTGTACAACCTTGAATTTACGACTAGCGAAATTGTTCAAGACTTTCCTGTGTAAACTTGTTAAAAGGTTTCTATTGACATCGTAAATTGGTTGTAAGGTTGGGAACACACTGTGTAAGTAGAACATGTTCATATCTATGAAGAACAATGTATCAGTTCCTTTAGTATGACTGATAAGCGGTGATGAAATGCACTCTTTGTATTAAATATCTTATAACAAATCTACAAGTTAAGAGTTTGGAAAATGTAAAAAATTATAAGGAATGGCGAAGTCTACTCCATATTGCAATCAGCTCTGAAGCACTTATAAAAGCAAAGATTCAACCTGGCTTCTAATGAGATAGCATGAAATAGAACATTAATACTTGCCCCAGCAAAAACTAGCTTTGAAACAACAGGTCAAGGAAAGTTCAGCAACGGTTGTGAAACGCGTCCTTGGTGAAAAATACAATAAAATTGCATAATGGGACTACCAAAGAATTGCCTATTTTTATTACTGACATTACGAACCCATAAAAAGGGGTATATTTTATTTTCCTATGCAATCTTCTGGTAGTTTAGAAGTTCATAAGTCTTTGTAATAACTGACGGTGTGTATTCGGTTCGTGACTGTCACCGATTCTTTGTTTACTTAAAAAATAAATGTAATACATTTTTTAATGACATATGCATGTGACATTTCATAAAATAAAGGATTATAAGAAAACACACAAAATGTACAGTTGATAAGTATTTTTAATAATTGCGAAACAATATAAACAAACATTATTTTATTAACAAAATATTCAGGTAATTGTTCGAACGATATTGCGTATTGCGACATCATAGGAAGAGAATATCACAGTAACATAATTTATAGATTAGCCCTGTACAGATAAAGGTTGAACATTTAAGTTTTTATGTAACTCCGTCTAAACGTATGTATTACAAAATAGGTACTACATTTTTATAGACGCGGCAAGACAGACATTATATTTTTATATCTTAGCAAATGGCTAATTTCCTTTCGTTACCAAATTTGAAGCGAGTACACCGTTCACGTAATTCTTGTAACTCTTGTCAGACATGCAAAGGTTATATTATGCTAATTTCTTAATTTCTTGCTCGAGTTAACCATGGACAAAAATATTGTGTTAAAACATAGATGGAATATAATTTTTTGAAGCAATTTATTGCGCAACAAATTTTCCTACAATGTTTAGACATAGGTAAATTTACAATGACAAATTTAATGTTAGTACATAAGTACATTAGTTACCTAAAAAATAACATTTGTAAATATCATACTATGAACTAATCGACCTCTACTATTTCGTATCTAGGTCAAAATAAGCCATAAATTAATAAAGAAACTTCAGTACTTTGACCAACAAAATTTCCACAAAACGGGCACGATTTCGTGGGGCATAAATCCTAAGTTAAGAATACTGTTATTGTTTTAGTAAATAAAAAACACGATACCGCATGCCAAAAGGCTATTAAAAACTTTTGCATGTAATAAATCGAAAGTAAACTAAATAATCGATTTCACCAAAACTTTGTATCGATATTGATTTAACTCTAAAAAGTTTTTTCGGTTAGAACGTGTCACGCAAGCCATTCTAATTTTGAATAAATAAAAGCGCGGCAATAAATCATAGAGTTTTGCGTGCGTGGAGTTTGGTGTCACTATTGCCACTAGAACGGAACATCATGGCATTTCTCGTGTGACATCGATGGGTTCTTGTCACGTAACGCGCACTCCACTATCGTTCATCCATGTTTCATATGCGTGAGCAGTAAATTCAAAATGGTGACATGTTATCGCATCCCATGAGTAATTAATTTAGTTCCTGAATATTGTCTAATTATATAACCACGCCTATTATAAATACTTGCCCTTGTTTTGCTTTTATTCCCTAAATGTACTCAATTTTTTCTTACTACATATTTACTTTTTTGTTTTGTATGTGGAACTATTAACATGTCTGACAAGATTTTAACCGCATAGCAGATTGAAAGATCCCTGTTCATCTACTGTTTAAACATCAACATTAGAACAATCATGTTGTAAAATTAACTACATTACTTTGTACACTTTCATTAAAAAAAATATTGCATGCGCTTGCATTACGAAAACGTTTTATTAATACATACATTTTACAAGCGCTTAAGGCTCATTTTTCTTTGCAGGAGATCGCCTTATTTATATATTTGTCGCCTACTTTTAATATAGAACTTTTAAGACATCGAGACTATTTACAAAGAGTTTTTACACCTCAGTCTCAATTAAAATGTCATGACTACGATTGCCGTTCTTAGAACAATAAAAGGACAATCTATCATATCTGAATACGTTTTAAAGTTCTACTGATATTAACATGTTTTAACAAGAAATCAATACTACAATATTATTATGATGCGATACAAGTCCGTATTACACAGTTTAACAGTTCTACATTTATTAAGTCTCAATAACGTTAAAATGTGAGCGAAGAAAATACTTTAAACTGTCAAACACCAAGCGGTCACCGGTGACCGCGACCTATTGTTCTTTAATTGTGTCTATAAAACCGGTACTCGACGAGTTAATTCTGTTAAGTTTGCAGAATTTGTTAGACATTTTCTTACTCCAGAAAATTGTCATTCGATATAAGCAGTAAAGGCGTAATTATTTTCTCTTTTAAAAGTTTTTCATGTGGTTACTTAATTTACATGTACATATATCAGCAGAAATCTACACACTGTTAACTTTCTTCAAATTACTTTCAACAACTACATTTTTTTATAAAGTGCATAATCTGACGAATAGATTGGAGTAGGTTTCACGAGGTGTCGCCTTTATGCACAGGTCCAATAATCATGTGCAGAAAATACCTATGGGGATTAACGTTTTTCGATCGTTAGATGGCGCAAATGTAGAAAGAGATGTTTTGTCCAATCACAGCAGCTGTCAAATATTGAATGTCCAATGGTGTGACACTAATTCCCTATTGGACTAATAATGGGAGGTTCATACTAGCTCCATCCAGTGAGCAGAAATACGGTAGGCTTTATTATTACCATTCAACGGCATTAATGATTTCAAAAATGGAACACCTTTTTATTAAAAACCTTTTTTCAACATTTCACATTTGAAACCTTTCTTAATTTTTCTATTAAATTAGCTACTGAAAAATACGCTAATGGGCCGCAGCCACAGATAAAATCGATCATTTTATTTCGAAGACAAATATTTTTAATTTTTTATTACGTTTTTCTCACAAACTAGGCAAGTTCCACAATAAGTTTTAATTTTATTATTTATACAAAATAAGAGCAAAGCAAACGCGATAATGTTCCGTCATATTTTGCCCAATGATTCAATAAAATTTTTAACCTACAAAAATTTAACTAAGCACATGATTTTTGAAAATAAATAAGCCGCCTCTTTTGTTTCTATGTTGAGACCTTAAAAATTTTAGCGTCTAAAAATAATGGCAAAGAATGAATTGATTTTAATTCTTGGTTAGTAGGTGTGATGATGACCAACCAAACTACTACCTACACAGCAAGATTGCTTATTTTGATATGACTAACAATTATCACCATTACCTGTCGGTTAATACTAAAGCCACTTCATTAAATAAGAGATTAATTCATTCACAGGTACCTACTCCTACAAAATACTTTAAAATTTTATCACTTTCAATACAAACTTGCAAAAATATTTCATTACACCAAAATAATTCATTGATATAATCTGGTATTGTCTATTAAAAACCTTAATTTAATAAGCAAGAACAATTGCTATTTGGCGTGAACAAAAAACTCGTGGGATATGAACGACATAAAACTTAATAAGGCCGGTTGCCATGGCAACAAACAAACTGTACTAAAATAAACATTAATGAATTAACCTACATAGAAATAACAATAAAAAATGTACACAATGTAATATCCTTTTACTAAGTTAACCTAAACACGGAACGTGTAGCTTAGCCCTAATATCAAACTTAACAATGTTTAATATTGCTCCATAGTAATATTTCGAAGCCCGATCAATACAGAAGATATCGTCTAACGAGTGAACACACATTTCAGCACTTACCAAGCTATATAAACATCAATCTGGCATGTCTATACTCGTAATAGGCACTACTGGTTTCATTATTTCATTTTTCTTTTGATTCTTCTGCGATTTTTTGCTTTCTTTAACTTTCTTTTGTGTTTCGTCGTCGCGGTAAGGTTCTGGGGGCTCGCTGGGCACCACGTTGGCGCCTCGGTTCACGTTGTTGTTGTACGCAATGTTCGCGTACTCTTGTAGTAGCGGGAATACTGAGAGAAGGAACTGGCAGAAGTCTTTCCTGATACCGAACCACCCTGGAAAAAACATTTGGATCAATGTAACATGGATGCCTTTCAAGGAATACTACTTAAAGGACTCAAGATCGTGACCTCGCCAAGCAGATGTTCTTCGAAAACATTATTTTTTAATATTAAATGAATTTCAAATCATCAAGATATAGATACGCCTACTAGTCGTAAAATGCCGATATTATTAAGTTGAAATCTTCAAACATCCCACTATAAAACGAACCGGCGAGTTATCGACGACAAAAATAGTTCAATCAATAAAGCGAACGAAGCGTATCGGTCAAGGCTTGCACAATTAGTCATCAAGTACTTTGTTACTAACAAAAACTCGAGAGTAAAATACATATATCTTATTATTTAGCCAAAAACGTAATATATAAGACGATGTGAGGAAATAAACAGCAGGTACCTTGGTCCTAATAACATTAGCTATTATTTTGATTTTCTTGATCAAATCGATTACGGTCAGTCTCAACTAAACTAGCCAACTACGCAGTAGATGACATGCAAGTTTGAGCGTTCAATATTAGTTAATCTACTCCGATTCCTTACTTACATTATACGAGATCTTTTTGTTTCACTTGAAGAAAGGTCAAGTATGGGATTAACGACCCTCTTGATCAAGATGTGGTGAAATGAAAAGTAAATTGTAAACCGATAAGAGGTCATTTTTGAGACAAAGGGAGGGAATATCGCCGAAAATTTGACTTCAGTCTGTCTAAACTGGGTATCAAAAGTAGTATATTATTGGGCATTCTATACCACTATCGGCAAGTCGCTCGGCGAGTGCGCCTCGCTGCCGATAGTGGTATAGAACGCCCAATAATCGATACTCGACTCGACTCTCTACTCGACCGACGATCGTTCGAGTTATTCTCACTTTGGATAGTAGTATATGATTAGGCATTCTGGATCACTTTTCGCTCGGCGAAACAAGTTCGCCATCGCGGTGGTCCAGAATGCCCAATCGTCAACGGTCGACTCGAACAATGATATAAACGCGAAAGAGCACCTACTAATGAAACGGTCAACTCACATATTATGTTAATATTCAACGATTGTGGTTGTTTTACAAATTTCATGCTTACTGTGTGAAACAGTTCGAATAACAATGACAAATATTTTTTGTATGTTAATATTTATAAACCGTACGACTTTGTATTTTGCGTTACTAGCATTAACCGAATCGACCGTTGACGATTGAGCATTCTGGACCATATCGATTATTGGGCGTTCTATACCACTATCGGCAGCGAGGCGCACTCGCCGAGCGACTTGCCGATAGTGGTATAGAATGCCCAATAATATACTACTATCAAAATTTGAATAATTCGCTGTTGTGTACACAAACTACTACACTTCAACCCTCAAAGTAGTCAATTTTACAAAGTTAATACATCTATGGAATAAACGAATAAGTGTGTTCAACACTATTTCATTTTAAAACAGTTCAAGGCAACAATTTCACACCCAATTTCTAGTAACTAAATATTATAATTACAAGTTGAACTTCTTTGAACTCATTATAATAAACATTTTCATCAGCAAATAGTTAATATAGTCAAAATTGTTAGTAATTCCACTCACGCGATACACCGGTAGCGAAATTAATTAAGGGGAAAGGCTTATTTCATGTTTAAACGCACGAAATTTTGAGACTAGGTATGCTAATATTAATATACTGTTTAATTTACATTCATGTGTAAACTTATTTGTCTTTTCATGTGTTTGTCATAAACACGAATATTTAACAAATATAATTGATATCCATTTGCAGACTGTCATCTACAAGCTTTTTCAAATATAAAATTAAACTAACTGGCAATCATGTACAAAAGCCTCCTTCAAAACTTCATACAACATTTTTGTGTTGTCATAAAGTTAACAATCCATTGACACCAAGTAGTAAGTTATACTGTTGTAATATTAGTTATAAATTGTACTTACATTTATTGCCTCCTTTAGAGCTGAACGACATGATGATGAGGGTGGCGTAGCTGACGAAGAGCGGGCTGACGACCACCGTGTACGTGAGGGGCAGGCCATCGTCCAACTTGTTTGTTAATAGCACCTGTATAATACAATGATAATATTATATTTAAGCCTCGACCAACACCTCAGTTGCGTTAGATGGTTGAGTCAAGGAGTCAAGTCATACAGAAAGCAGTACTTCTGGACACGGCGCGTATTATCCAGAAATTCCTCTCTCTGAAACCCTGACCACCGGTAGCTTGGATTACTCCCGTTACCGGTGGGCTACTGCTTTTTATATTTTTAATTGTTGTTTTTTTATAATAAAATACTTAAAAATGTATAAATCAAGTATAAAAATAAATAAAGGAGATATTTAGTTTCAAAAGTGCGTTACAAAGTTATTTGCGTGGTCGTGATTGCTATGGAAGGGGTTTAGAGATCGTTCCTAAATGGGACAAAGGGAATATTTTAATTTAGTAATTTAATTTAGTCGATAAACAATTATCTGACGTACCCTACCAAGATAATTGTATTCGACTAACTTTAAATGGTAAGTAGCAAACAAAGGAAGAATACAATAACTTCCCGACATGACTAATTGTAACTAATTAACAAAATACATTATACATTTGTTTATCAATATTACGTACTTCAATTACATATTCTGTCCTGAGTTACATGACTCATTCCATTAGCGCATATAAATACCAAACAAAACATTATGCAATGAGGTTTTAAGAGGACATCTATCTAATAAATTTCAGGAAATATAACCAGCTGGTAACTCATGATTTTAACATAATTCATGCTAGGCACTTTGATGACTGTTGATGAAGCGAAAGAGGTATGTAAGAATCGTAGCAATTCGCGTTCCATAGTAGGAGGCAGAGCCTACCCCCATGGGAGACAGGCGTGAAGTTATTATGAAGTAGGATTGGAGATCATGGTTTAAAAAGTTCCGATTTATTACAGGACCAGGCTGTTTGGTCGGGTTTTATGACACCTGTGCGAAAAGTAAGGGTGGGTGACACCTTTCTTTCATCATCGTTATAGCAGCCAAGAACGTTCGCTGCTGAATACAGGCCTCCCCTAACTATATCCCCCTATTTTTAAAGTGGGAGAGCCATGCTTCGGCACGAATGGACCGGCTCGACCGCTGTGATACCACAGCCTCACTAAAAACCGACGTCAAACAACGCTTGCGTTGTGTTTCGTCGTGTGTGTGAGGTTATCAGAGGCCCAATTATCCCCCCCCTCCTTCCCCAATCCCTGAATCCCCAACAATCCTCAAATTCCTTATTCCAAAAGGCCGGTACCGCACTTGTAACGCCTCTGGTGTACCAGGTATCCATGGGCGACGCTGATTGCTTACCGGTTTACCGGCTTATCCCATTAAAAAAAACATACCTGTTTTTGTTTTATATGTATTAATATGTAAAAGGAATACAAACCTGAAACACCAATATAGGTATGACTGTGAACGTGTAAGCCAGAGCCGAGTTAAAGCTAGTCCGCCGCTGTTGTATGTTCACCTCTGGAGTCCGGAGTAGGATCCCAGCGAATATTATACTGTATAAGACCCCTGCGGAAAAAAATACATTTTATTAATGCAATGAACTTTTTGCAGATTCAACTACCGAAATAGCGAGCAAGGAGATTTTCGGGTCGGACAAACTATTGTTAAGGTTTCAATGGATACATAACATCATAACATCACGCCTTTTATCCCCGAAGGGGTAGGCAGAGGTGTACATTATGCCACTGTACAATGTAACACCCACTTTTCACTATTTATGTTATGAGTCCTATGTAATAGGGGGTGAGCCTATTGCCATATACCGGGCTCGATTCCGGACTCCGTGCTACTACTGTGAATTTTTTGAAAAACCCAGTGGTACTTTGCCCGACCCGGGAATCGAACCCGAGACCCCTTGCCAGGCAGTCGCACTTGCGACCACTCGGCCAATGAGGCCAGAGAGCCAGCTTTAATGTTTTTTTTTTAAATTTCTCAGTAATAGTAGCATGGAGTCTGGAATTGTGCCCGGTGAATGGCAATAGTCTGAGTTCTTTTACATAGGACTCATAACATATTTGATGAAAAGTGGATTAAAAAGCATAACGTTATGTTATATGTACTACGAATATAAAAAATAATGGTAATGATAATGTATGAATACTCGAATAATGCTAATTTGTTATATTCATGGTCTGTAAGAGGAAAATCCACAAGGAAAATCGGGGAACTAATAAGTCTAATGCGCGAAATCATAGCGGATCGTTTATTGGAACTATGTACTGCTGGTTATAAACTAAATTATTTGGAAATATATATTTGGTTTCCTGTTAAATTAGCTATATAATTGACCCAATTTAGGACCGAGTGTAAATTACACCTAGTATTTTCCTTCTGTAGGTGTAAAAATATACAGATGTATAAACAGTATAGGTACTATCATATGGATATCAACCGACATTTAAGCTGGATTAGTACTATCAGAACATTATCAGATTACCCAGTAATCTTATTACCATTCTACCACTAATTTGTTCCTACACAGTATCTAGGTCAGTGTATCAAATCATTTGAATAAACGTCAGCATCAACATCATTATTGTGATACTTGAGAGAACATCGAAATCAGGTTTTGAATGTGTCACTGTATCTAATTATAACTGTTTTGTTGACTGAGGTCACAAACGTGTAAGATTTTTGAAGTTTAATAATTAGTTCACGAAGTTTAGTTTTCTATAAAGTATGGAGTCTAGGAAAGCATATCAGCTCCAGGCTCTATTATTGTCCTTAAGGTTATTTTCTTTTTTGATCACTTTGACTGGATTTTAGTGTTAGATTGTTCTCGCACAATCCAAACAGCAAAACTATGTAACTAGTAAATTGTATCGTGAACCTGATTGAAAAAGAGTAACCTATGGAGTTTCTTGATTGTTCTTCTCCATAGGAATCTACACCTTGGAATGAGCAAATAGCTTCACTTTTTTTTTGTTGACGTTCAAAAGTGCCATTCTGGCCTAGTTGAAATAAATGATTTTGACTTTGAAACAGGGGTTATCCAGACTATAGACTCTTTGCTATAGGCAAGCTTTGTGTCACACCGAGTTACCAACAATACAACTGACAAAAATTATGTGTCCTTTAAAAAATGTATGACTTAACTGACAAAGTGATCTAATACTGTTTCCAAATTAGATTTGATATCATACTAGCCGGATATTACCAAGAAAGTCATTGTCTAAAGGATAATAAACCAAATATCTACACAACTACAATGAAATATGAATAAAGCCATACATACACTCACCTACAAGACTGAGGCACATCAGTATCCACAGCGGTACAAACACAACCTCCCACGACCAACTTATGAACTCATCCAGCTTCAGTGCCAGAAATATGAACTGGAGTATATTTACAGCACAAAATAGTTCCAACTGAAACAAGGATTTTTTTAAATGAAATACACTCTATTACAGCAAGGTTCCACTCACTCTGCTCGGTGCCTATTGATCGTAGCGTCCCTCGATAAATGGGTTATTTTATTTATAGTTCCTGAAATTAGCGCATTCAAACAAACAAACTCTTCAGTTTTATATAATAGTATAAGATAATTTAATTAAAGGTCTAGTTTTGATTGTAAATTATTACAGTAGATCATTGCAGTAGAGTAGATGATCCTCTTTATTGTGTTGCCTATGCTCAGTAATACTGACCTATATGAGGTACCGGATTACTTTTGATTAAAATATGGACACAACATAACCAGATGATGCTTTTTAGAATATATTTTTGTGTGACAAAGTTTTACGAAAAATTATTAATTTTTGAAATGGAACAGAATAATAACAAAAGTTATTTATTAAATTATTTCAATAAACATTGATTGGACTTTAGCTCTGTTGTTAGATAGATGCATTATTTATCAACCAATACTAGATAGTAAGGTCAACAAGTTCAAACAGATTATTGCCTAATGCAGAATGTATACTCTGTTACACTACTTAATCAATGTCGCAATTGCAATATCAAGAATCCATCTCACATTGAAGTATGAACTCTAAAGGAATACATAATTAATCTTGATTTACATAAGGAAGTAGTATTGAACCTGCACCTGCATATAATTTTCCTCCAGTAAGTCCTAATTCTGCAGAAATATCAAGACAAAAAGCAGCCTATTCAATTCTCTGAAAATTAAGCTTTCCAATAGTGAAAGAGTTATTTAAATAGGCTTTAGAGATTCTTCAATGCAAAGCTAGCTTCTGCCCGCGACTTCGTACGCGCAATATCGTTTTCTCCTGCTCCCATAGGATTTTCAAAATTTTTTATGTCTTAACAACCTTCTCCTAACAAGAATTAGTGAAATCGGTCCTGCCATTTACGCGTGATGCCGTGTCTAAGGGAAAAAGGGATTCATTTTTTATATATAAATTATTCTAAATAAAAATTGTACAAACCTCATAGCTGCGATCATGTTTCACAGACCATATACAGATGGCAATGGAAACTATGCTTATAAAGATGAGTGGTATAAACACCAGTATCCACACATGGCGACTGGTGGTCAACTGGTCACATACCAGCAGCTCGAACATAAGCAGTATTAAGTGAATGGCAAGACTTATCAGCATAGCTTTGTAGTGAATATAGGCTTCACCCTCCAACCTGGAAAAAAGGCACTGATTTATATGACTTATTCATTAATTTATTTAACTTAGATTGAAAATAATAACATATGGAAATGTCGAAGGGTGGAAAGAGAAACAATAAGAGATAGAAGGATATATACTGGATATATATTGTGTAAAGAATGATGTAAAAAAGGAGTTTGTGATAGCATGTTATTAATCTGTCAAACACCAAGCGGTCACCGGTGACCGCAACCTATTGTTCTTTAATTGTGTCTATAAAACCGGTACTTGACGAGTTAAATATGGGAGAATGGATAATAGGACATATTTTGCTCTAACTTGAAGTAGCTGGCATAAGGGCAGGAAGAATAAAATAGACTACATACATAACTTATAAAATAATATAATATGTTGATTAATGAAAATATATTGGTTTATCTTTCTCATGAGCTGGGATTGTGACAATTAAACATGTTTCTACAAATCTGAAATGGTTTGAAACTAAATGTCTTTGGAGAAAACAAAATAAAATGGCCATATTAATGATTTACAAATGACTACAAGAGGTCAGATTATTATTAGTTACAGAATTCCATCAGATAATGTCAGCTTTGAGTGTAATGTTAAATGGCATTTCTTTCTTGCATTGTTTATATTTTAGTCTGCTTCCTATGTGTGTTTCCTTTTTCCTTATTTGTGTATATACAACTAATATTGATATTTCGTGTTTCAGTCACCGATTGACTATTTCTTTTTCATTAGTCCAAGTGTTAATGATACTTGTTAAAAAATAAGATAGGTCTGCCTGTTGAATAGTCATAACAATCTGTGATATTTCCTTAATTTTTTTTTTTTATATTTGATGGGCCAACGTTTGGCCACTATATCACATGGTGATAGAGATTAAAATTAAATGCACCTAAATTAGGTATTTGTAGATCAAGGGCACAGGAAAATATAAATTATAGCAGCATAATAGTCATGAGTTTATGATATAACTCTAGTGAGATGAACTATATTTTAGACTAGATCGATGGAAATATTTATGAACAAATCAAAGGGTTGAGCAACAACTCATAGATACTGTCATGTTTAGCTGCAGTTTTGCACTCTTTTTATTCTATTGAGTAACAGTTTTGACTGGTAGCAAAAGAATTGAAGCATAAAATATATTATTCAGTGCAGCCAGATGTAGTCTTACCTTTGTGGTTTGTTTATATAAATTTCACATCGATCCTTAGCACAAGTGTACTCACCTGAAGTGAGGGTACTGCCACCAAACATATGTGCCAACTGTGGCACCAAGAACTACAAGAAATTTCCACACCCATATTGGAGTAAACACGGCCCAGTACGACCATGTTATCGAATTATCTAATTTTAAAGCTAACAATGCAGTAAATATTAGCAAACAGCTGTGAACCACGAATTTGCTGGAAACAACAAAAACAATAATTAGAACAAGTTATCACATACTGTCTCAATAACATACAAAATAACTTTACATTACCTAGGATTAAAATCCTGAAATAAAGTTTGTAAATTCATTTCCATACACATATGGACTGTTAAACGTTTTTAACATTTCACATAAAAATAAGTCTTGATGACTGAATAATTTTGATTTATTCGATAGATAATCTCACAAATCACAACACAAGAGCCATTCTATTTTATCAGCTGCAGGCATTATTTACCACAGATAGTTAAAAGTGATGCAGTTATGTCATATGATGCGACTGATATTCTCGATATGATTAAATTCGACATGAAACATTAGGAGCTTAAGATATTTTATACTATAAATAACTAATTATTCTTCTAAATTGTAAAAGGAAAGTCAATTTTATTATGGATATGGCAAAAGCTTTATATATAACTTACAATCAGGTAATAAATTGCAGGACCTAGGTCCATTGGTACAAACATCTCTAACAATCCGAAAGCACAAAAATGTCACTAATGTGAATGTCAAACGAAATTTTTGCTTATTATTGACATTGACAGAGTTGATTGATTCGAAAGAACCTTTTTGCAAAAGCAAAAATATTAAGGCAGTCGATGAAAGTAATTAATTTTGTTACCTGTTGTAGATGTTACTCGTCTTTTACTTAAATTTCACCGAAACTGCTTCTTATCTTTGATAATAATTCAATAACATGGCTTCACCGTCACCAAAATCGCCGGAACAAAGTGAAAAGACTAAACAATATGACCGGCAACTACGGCTATGGGGAGATCATGGTCAGTCTGCACTTGAACATGGACATATTTGTTTAATTAACGCTACAGCCTTAGGTACTGAAATATTAAAATCTATAGTATTGCCTGGAGTTGGTGCTATTACTATAGTAGACGACAAAGCAGTAAGTGATGAGGATATTGGAAGCAATTTTTTCTTGGAATGTTCCAGTAAGGACTTGAATAGAGGTACAGAGGCTTTGCGATTGTTACTAGAATTAAATCCAGCTGTCCGAGGGCATGCAGTTCAAGAACCTACAGACCAAATTCTTAGAGAAAACCCTGATTTCTTTAAATCTTTTAGTGTAGTTATAGCTACAGCTCTTGGAGAAAAAACTGTTCAGGATCTAGCTCAACATTTATGGGATGTAAATATCCCCCTGATCCTGTGTAGATCAGTTGGATTTTTAGGATCTTTCAGGATTCAAATGAAGGAACATGCCGTCATTGAAACTCATCCTGATAATGAACAAACGGATTTGAGGCTTGATGCACCATTCCAATCTTTAGCAGATTACTTAGACAGTTTTGATATAGATTCTGTTGATTTGAAAGACCATGGTCACATACCATGGATTGTAATAATCTACAAAGCTGTGCAAAAATGGCAAACCAATAATCAAAATCGTTGGCCAATGAGTAGAAAAGAGAAGAATGAGGTGAAATCTATTATTAGTGAATTTATAAGAAGGGATGAAAATGATGTCCCGATTAATGAAGAAAATTTTGAAGAAGCCATAAGAGCCGTTAATACTGCACTAATGCCAACATATTTACCTGTAAAGAGTCAAGAATTGTTGTACTGTAGTGCTGCTACTAACTTAACTAAGGATAGCACCCCTTTTTGGATAATGTGCTCTGCATTAAGAGGGTTTGTTGAGGGTGAAGGTAAGGGCAAGCTGCCTGTCAAAGGTGTATTACCAGACATGACTGCATCAACAGACCACTACATCAAACTACAAAATCTATACAGAACCCAAGCTGCAATGGATGCTGAAATAGTGTATAGAAAAGTGCAACAAATTGTTGCCCAATTACATTGCGATAACATCAGTGAAGCTGATGTGAAATTGTTCTGTAGGCATGCACATGACTTGCATCTTATTAGTGGATCTAGTATAGCTTCAGAGTACCAACTGACTAGTTCAGTTGCTTCTTACATAGCCAGACATTTAGAGGAGCCCGATGTGATGATGGTACATTATGTGTTATTAAGAGCTGCTGAAATGTTTGCATCAGAACACTGTAGAGCTCCAGGTGATTGGGAACCTGAGGGTGACAGTGCTAAATTAAAAGCTTGTGTCACTAAGCTCCTCAGTGATGTATCTTGTTCTCCATTCCCTAAAGATGATCATGTTCATGAAATGTGCCGATATGGTGGAGCAGAAGTACATAGTGTGTCAGCATTTTTAGGTGGTTGTGTGGCTCACGAGGCCATTAAAATCGTAACTAAACAATATAAACCAGTGAACAATACATTTATATATGATGCTGCTTCTACTAACACTGCTACATTTACATTTTAAATGAATACTCACTTTAATAAATTATTTGTAAACAATATGGAATTTCATTTCACGTTTATGCAAAATGTAATAGGGTAAAAATAAAATTGAATAAGTGCTATTATTCAAATACTTTACTATGAATTCAAGGATTTCATATTATTTATTTTATTTAACAGTACATAAAAGTTAAGTAGATACAAATGTCTACTTATTATAGTCAAGTTAGTATGTAAAACAAGACATTCATTTGTGATAAAAACCAACATTGCAGGGTGAAAAATATAAATTAAACAGTGACTACAATATAATTCTTCAAAGTTGTGTATTTAGATTGGACAATAACCACTTTAAAATCTTACAGTCAAAATATAAAAGAATCGGTGAAAATATTTTCATTAACAATTTCAACACATAAATTAGATAAAACATATCACATGACTAAAAATAATTGAAACAAACTATACATTTGGCTAAATCCTCATGGATGGCAATAGAAGGTTACACCATATAACAAGAGTAATCTGCTTTAAATATGGTTAAGACAGCATGGCCTCCAGAAGTATGTAACACAACATTGAGAATTTCTCAGATACCTACTTATTTCACCTAAGCCATAACTTCAACCGTAATGCATCTACACCATTAAGATAATATCGAAATAAGCGTTTGTCCCGGACAAAACCGAGATTCTCATACAGCTTCAGTGCTGGTTTATTTGTGATTTCAGTTTCTAAAACTACTTCATCCGCATTGTCCTTTATCATTGCCTGTAACAAAAAGAACAAGTATTTTTATGTAGACAGCTTTAAAAAATAATGCTATTGGAATTTGGTTGATGAAAATAAACATAAAATATAAATAGAGGGCTCTTCTAGATTTACTTATGTGTACATACCTGTATTGCTTTTCGAACCAGTCTAGACCCAATCTTCCTCTTCCTGTATTTTTCATCAACGGCTAACATAGCAATGTAGCCTCTTTTAACTACATTACGATGCATATCTAACTTACAAACGATGGCACCAATGCACTTCCCTTCGTGAGTTGCCAAGAAGCAAAGCTTAGGCCAGTTGTGTATAAAATATCTATATGTATAGATGGAGTAGGGTTCTGACAAATCTTTTTGTATAAGTCTCATTATCTCTGGCATTTGAAGCTCAGATTCGTATGAAATAATTTCAATTTCGTCTTCAGGCTGCTCCTCTTTACTGACTTTTTCGAGGTTTCCTAACGCATCATCAAAAATACACCTGTCTTCTATTTGGGCAGGCGCATCTATGCTTTCTCGTTTACATGTTGCATCACTACACTGTATACTATTTACATCATTCACGTCTTCATTGACTTCAATCGGAACATCATCTTGGTTCTCCGATTCGTGCTTCTGACTCTCGGGGCTTCCATTTGGATGATCACTAGTCCCATTGGTTAGGTTTCTATTGATGTTATTTATATGAAGAGTATTGGCTAAAGAGTCGCTTAAATTCTCTTGATTAGATATACTTATTTCATCAGGATTTTCAGGATCTTTGGCCTTTTTACTTTTGTTTTTCATATTCGTGCCCTTCTGACTGCACTTCATACTCTGAATATTTTCTTCGGTAAGTTGATTCATATTAACGGTATTCTAACTATAAATATTTACACACTCAAATGACTGTAAGCTCATATAAATTTCACATAAGCTTTCACGACAATACATACATCTTTTCCTTGTCAAAATTGTAGAAGAGTATCACCGACATCTTGGTAAGTATAAAAGCAACAGCTTCAATAAAAGGATGATCTGACTGTATCTCTGTGCGTTCTTACGACAAAATAGATAAATAGAAGTAAAATAATTTTGCAGTAAATAAGAATTCTGAAAATACTTCTTGAAAATGTACGAAATTTATAATTTATGTCCAATGCCTTCCACAATCACATTGCAAAAAAATATCAGTCGCATTACAGTATCACAAAACCGTAGTTGGTTAGAAGTTGGGCATTGTTATATTCCCATAGAAAATGCAAGTAATCAGAAAAAGAAAGACATATTTTTAAAGCTCAAAAAGTAACACAAAGCTATACCTGAAACGACATTTGGTGTTGCCAAATAAAACACAATGTTACGATAATAATAAAATCAGATCATTGCCATAATTATTTATTTTGACTGTGTTAACTTTATAAAATAGTAATTTAGTTTAAATCTAATTATCTGTAACGTATATATTCCTAAAACCATGCCAGAACAGCGATTTTAAGTTACCTGCCTAAAACTTCGCATGAAAGAAAACCAAGATCTAGATCTATACTCCGTCTGTTTAGGTAGTTAACTATTTGTAAACAAACCATAAAAAGAGTTCTTTATAATTGACATTTCCATGATTCAAAATACTTCATAAGAAAATGATATTGTTTCCCTTTTTACGACAGTTTTCTCTATTAAACGTTATGTTTCTGTTCCTTTTCACTTATTTCTTAATAAATATTAAATATATCTGCTTGAACATATTAATTTAATAATATTTATTAAATAATATAATATTTCATTACAATACACACCATAAAGAGCCTAAAATCCCAGGTATCCAAAACGTTTCTTTAAGAACGAAGCAAAATAATGTTGTCAAATTAAAGAGTACAACGAAGATGTAGCGCGACAATGAAAGTAGCGTGTATTACGTTTAGTCGGTTAATCAGGCGCCATTGACAGCTCTCTCGTCGTTTGCGCTCGCGTTCCTATTTTGTTGAATTTAACTTGTTTCTTTGTTTTGTTTTTGTTATTAAGTTATTTAAGTTTAGGTTATCCATCGTTTGTAATTAATGTGTTCAAATATATTGAAGAAACTTGGCCCAAAGACAGATATCCGTACAAGAAAGAAATCCGTACATCAGATTCAGAATAGTTTCTATTTCAACATGATAATGATATAGACCCATAGGCTAGGCTCTTGTACGATTTAGGCATTTGTACTTGTATGTGTGTGTATGACAAATGAACGATTTTAAAGTGAATTTAGTTAAAATTAAAACACGAGAAATATACGAAGTAATAGTAGGTTAAGTATCTCTGTGTCACGTGGTTTTCTTTGTTTACCTTTAGTTAATTACCTAAACAGATGGACTATAGGCTATCTTTTACAACATCCTCGGTTCTAGAACCGAGGATGTTGTTTTAACGTCCTTGTCTAAAACCTATACTGTGAAGCCTATGCAGGTTGAACAATTAATTATATTTATTACTTGTCACTAAAGTACAAAATTGGTTAAATAGATATTAGGTATAAATGTGTGACTATTAGGTAACCTAATCTTATTTACAATCATTAATAATCAAACAATAATCCAACTACAAATTTTAGGCGCTGTTGAGGACAACTTTAACAGTTAACTTTATATAAAACGAGTTGAAGAAAAGACTTACCTACCCACTTTTAGAATAATTTATATTTGTAGAGTATCAATGTAGGTAGGTAGGTACTTACATACAACATAGTTCGAATACCTACTTACTTAACTATGTAGGTACCTGAGTAGACTGTAGGTTACTCATGCGAAATATAAATATTAATACTACTCTTTAACAATTGATGCTTTTTAACAAAATCAGAGCGATGATTTGTACCAATACACATTGTGAAGTTCGACTTAGCGCCCAATGCGAACGCTTTGCTGACGTCACGAAGAGAATCAACATGGCTGGCGAGCGACTGAAAGCGCGCGCGTGTACCGCCGCGGTAGGTGGTGTGCTTGGTTCTAGTTGTACGAGTACTCGACTCGATCGACTCGAGACTCGAGTTCAGTACCCGGTTGACAGCCGGTGAGGCGGCGGCGTGACGTGGTGCTCCAAGCGTGTTATACGCGCACGCCGCCTCTGCGCGATTTTCTATAAATTGTAAATAATTTTTGTATACAAAATATAAGACGTGCTAATGCAGAACAGTAACTATTTAGTGTGTGATTACTTAAGCTGTTCTTCAAGTCAATCTGATATTGTGTTGTTTATTTATACGGACCACGTTATGTAGTGTCTTTGATACGATTTACTCTACTAGGGAGTAACGATTACCGTAATATTCACAATCAAAACATGCATGTATTTATTAATTGAATGACGTATTAAGGGATTATACATGCGTTCAATGTTGTGTGCTTGATTATTTGCTGTAATTTTAGTGTGCGTAGGTAAATGACTGCCTTCGATGGATATAAACAAAAAAGTGATACGGATGATTTTCAATAAATCCTCCAAAGTGCTCGAAAATCCATTTGGAATTTGATGATTATAATATAATCAACAATGGCGGACCGTGAACGTCCTGCGAAAACCCCCATTAGGGTGGGTTTTTATGACATCGAGAGGACCATTGGCAAGGGAAATTTTGCCGTCGTTAAGTTAGCACGACATCGAATAACGAAGACTGAGGTAAGGAGATCTATTGTTTTCTCATTTAACACATTAATTAAAGAAAGAAGTAAAAAAAGACAATGTAAAGAAAATACTTAATTTGGTAAGCCACTACCATAATTAGGTAGGTCCATACTCCATACAAGAAACAGCGTGGGTAGTTTTTAAAATCATAAAAATAACCCATTAACGTAATCTTAAAACAAAGCTAAACGTGGGGAAATCCATGTTTTTATTAATATACGTAAAACAAACAAATCGAGCTAATAAAAACGTGCATACTTATCAGCTTACTAGCCTCAGATAAAAATTGATGTCATTAACACAAGCACCTTCCTGAATAATCTAAATCTTTACAAAACATCGGCTTTTATGAGGCCAAACTTTATTAATGTAACAGAAAAAGGATCCATTACAAATTCAAGGGTTAACATCACATTGTTTTGAACGTTTTAATTTAGTTAAGTCCTGTTATCTCTCATATGTTGGAATATCGGTTGAAATATACCGACGTTCGTCCATATTTATCGTTGGATATTCCAAAACACACGCAATTAGGTTCACCCATATTGTTTCGTTTTTCCATCAGAATTTCTGAATGGCCTTATTGGTTCAGCTGTTGCATCTTAATGAGCTATAAAACAAAGTAAGTAACAACAAAGTAGACCACAAGAAATGTAGTGAAAATAGCTTATTAATCAATAGCTAATTATTTATGCATAATCGCAAGTTCGTTGTTTTTTCCAACTAGCCTATCTGGCCTTAATTCATGCGGCTAAGGTTCGTTGGGTACGAAGAGAAAGTATTAACCTAAGCGAATATTTAATACAAACACAAAAGATGGGTGCAAAAACAACTCTAGGTGTCTAGGTAGTCCTAAAATGACCAACTTTCAAAATTACCAAAAATGGCGATTTCGCAGACCTCTTGAAAGCATTGCAAAGGTTTTTGATTTGAAAAATATTTGGCTTATTGCGTAAGACTATTTAAAACTTAAATATTTTCTCCAAAATTCGACATTTTTGATGCCCACATTCTTCTTTATTTACATTCTTTCATTTCTTCTCATGAAAATCAGTAACAAAATCTCATTAAAAAAATTAAGGTCATTTTCGAAAGCAGAATACTGTAAAGTTAACGATTAAACATCCCGATTAGAGTGTATTGGTCCAATTAGATTTGTATTTATGTATTCTTATAAGTCATACCTGATGATTTTCACTAATACCAATTAATGAATAGTAAGCAGCAACACGATGATAATTACGTCGAAGATAATTGTTGGACTTGCTCTTATCTCAATAATGATCACTTTGGGATGTGTCAGACGCTCGAGAACACCTTTGAAGAAATCTGAACTCTATGCTCTTAAACTGTCAAACACCAAGCGGTCACCGGTGACCGCGACCTATTGTTCTTTAATTGTGTCTATAAAACCGGTACTCGACGAGTTAATCATAATTATAGGTCGATACTACATACATCGTGCATAGTTCAAAGAGGTCCTCATACCTTACCTCTGCCAAATAAAAAATTGTGTGTACACAGTGTTCTCTTCAATATGAGTTCAATAGTCTCCAAAATTATTAGAAGCCCTCATCAAATTAGTCACGTTTGTAAGCCATATGTATAAGTTTTTATTTAAGTTTACTATGAAAACATCATTGTTCTAGTGGTTTGTTTAACTTCATAAGACTTCGCTTACGGAAATTGAACTTTAGACATTGATAGAGAAACATTCATTGTAGCATAATTTTTACAATATAATTAATATCTAAGCTGTTAGAGAACCAAATGTGTGCCAACGTCCTATAGTTGTGGGAAGTATAGCAACCGGGCGGGATATAGAATCGTCCACTATTGAGAATTCTTAAGTGTCAGCGACCGGTCGGTCGGCTGGTATCCAAGTCATTGTAGACCCACTCATGACTCTTGTTCCTAAAATTTTGGGACTCGAGTATGCATACCCATTATCGCACTCATGGTCCTGCAAAAAGCTCCGAAGCCACTTCGAATTTCAAAGAAATAATGGAACTCTAAAAGTAATATTACTCAAGAGCGATAGGAGCAAAATGTCGCTGTAAAGGTCATTTTCTATTTGTAAACTTCAAACTGAAGTATGTTTGTAGCAGATACGGTGAACGTAGATTGCATTTTACCTACGTATCTATGTAGAATATAGATAATTAGTTTAGAGAAGTCTCTTAACGTTAGTGAAAATGTTTGATAGAATGATTTATGTAAAACAAAAATATCTGGAATAATAAATTGCATTTGATACAGTGATTATTGATGAAATCAATATCTCATAAAATCTAATTGGTTATCAATAAGAATACACTGTAGTTTCAAGTAACGAAAATCTTTTTACTATTTTTTTTAAGTTGTGAATTTAGTAAATGAAGGAACTTATTAAGATTTCGAACGATACAACATAATATAGACTTAATTTGATCAATATTATTTCCGTCTAATAATCATCGCAGTGAAATGGGTACACGTTACTGAAGCCAAACGTTTCAATCGTTAACTGAAGAAATAACTATTTCAATAGCCACCAGGTATAAAAGGCTACTTACAGTCGTACGAGTCTATGGCACCGAAGTGGGTCATTGGCCGAATACTGTACATCGTCGTCGTTGTGAATGACTCACGGCGCCGGACTGCGTTTATGAACGACTTTTTAACTGGCGATTACATCGATTTCAGGGTTCCGGCTATAATGCGGAATATAAATAAAGACTTTTGTTTAGAATCCACAGTGTACATGACGCATCGCAGAAAGTGACTTACGAGGACGCGACGTTGAATGAATGCACCAAAATAACAGAATGAACGCCCTCGGCCTTCGCTACTGTACTGGTTTGCTGTCTGAAATGTGGATGGTTACCTTAAATAAGCTTGTGTACCGTAAATCCGGTTTAATGTTTACACAATATTAGTGAGATCTGTTACTCCGTCGATTGGACTTTAGGAAACTTTTTGAGAATAAATCTGATGTAAGAAGTAGGTGCGTGATAGAGCTTGTTAGCTTTGAGATTCCCTGAATCATCTCTCCTCTATACATAGATTTAACTTCTACTATTAAAACATAATTCTTACTAACTTTCAAGTAAATGTGCAAGCGGCGTTGCAAACCGGCGTAAATGTAAACAAAGCGCCAAAAAAGTAATTTGAAAAAGTTGGCGAAACATGATGTTTCGAGGAACGCAGCTATCAATCAGTGATTCAGCGTAGTCGGTTGGATGAGGTCGAAACGAGCGTCGGCGGCGGGCTGCCGCGTCCAGAAATACCACGGCATCGACCTTGCTCTGGTGCACGCATCGTTTTGTTTTTATTATTTTACTTTTTTCAGTGTGAGCCGCTAACACCAAGGTGACGGCCAGACATTCGGCGCTCCAAACGCGTAGTCATCGGTTTCATAGCTCGTGTTGAGAAACATTTCATTCATATGCTTTAACATTAGCGACCTACGTTCATTGTATTCTTGAATATTTAATCACCTTTTCTAATGACTAGGTAGGTAGATTATGCGTTTCTTTACGTATGTCTTTGACGTCTCTATATGTATACGACAGGCAGTTAACGCAAATGCCACACAAACAATTCATCGTAGTCGTGGTGTAAAATTGATAAACGATGTGTGCCTAGACAGTTTGAATCATTGCGTTGCGTTGCGCTTGGTAAAATAAAGAAAGCGCGATCATCAAGGAGATGCGTGATCGGCACAAGTCTGGCGAATATTTTGCCAGGAAATCATATAGTATGGCACGCGCTCCGTTTACACTGCTTGAAAAATGTGCGCTTGACGCAAATGCGTTATCTATTTTGGAACTCTGCGTCAGTAGCTGGTTGTTATCTACACTTTGCAGTCTGGCGGTCACCCTCGTCGTCTTCTCCGTCTTTAGTTTGGAAACTTTCTCTTTATATTTTTTCCACACGTGATTGCATATTAGACTACTGCTAGATATTGTTGAAACTACGGTCGCACTAGGATCAGTTTATCAACAGATAATTCACCATGATAACGTGGAGACACGCGTGTTTGTTTGCTCTCGATAAGTAGTTATCTCCTGTCATGACGTCAATAGTTCATTTTGAATTGAAAATGGTGGTAATAAAATTGTACGTTAGGTACAAATCTCTTTAATTGATGTACTTATATCTAGTGACGTATTTGCTAAAGTGTTTCAATTGTTCCTGTGGCAATATTTATGTTTCTATTACAGTATTATGAGCCAAGAACTAGTAGAAATAGTTTTGGTGTCCATTTGGACACACTAATGGAGGAATATAATAAGTGTGGAAAGAGAAAACTGCTGTTAAACTGGATGCTTTATGTGATGTCTTCCGTTTTCATCCTTGAAAAAGTTGTCTGTAGTGGTCCGGACGACATGATGGAAGGGGGGCACTAGAATGGAGGGTACTACGCTCCCCGACGTCGGCGTCGCTTCGTGCAGCGTACTACATTTACTAGGAGTTGCCTACTCTTGCGTCCATTGTTTTGAAATGCGTAGGTGGAAGACTGTAACGGAACAATCTCCCGCTATTTACGTGTTCTAAAATCTGTAAGCTCAAGAATACAACTTACTATTAAGATGCTGTTATAAAACAGACAAATAGTTATTAAAATTGTTCAAGTGTAGGACGGTTAATTAGTTCTCGAACAACACAAGTTTGTCTCTATTGTTTTAATAATGTCATTTAAATATTCCATAAATTAATTTTATATCACTCCCACTTGCTTTATCTTAATTTACATTTTCGCTTTTCATGTCCGCCTACTGTATTTTTGTCTATCTTGTAAAATGTTATCTTCTATTCACAACGTTTATCAAAAGACTCTTATTACCGCACAGCATTTTGCGAATTTTCCTTACACCCTTGCTAAGGATTGTAGAGGAGAAAATGAATATTATCTATCTTACTCACACGTATGCTGTCCCGCTTTGGCGAGTATATTGATCGTCGTCTAGACTTGTTGATTGTGGCTGAAGGGCTTAACGTCCCTGAATTTG